ATATTTTCTTAAGTTTGAAAGATTACTGGGTAGTTAAAAATGATATTAAAAAAGCCTTTGTATTTGTCAAGTAATTTTTACAGTTATGTAACCCTTAGATAAATTTCCTAAATTTGCCAACAGAATTATCAACACCTCATAAAAACACTCACCTTTTCTGCAATATTTTAAACTAAAAGTAATATTTGTTTCAATTTAGATTAGTTAAACTTTAAATCAGCTGATCTTCTTCAAAGTTTCAGAAAAGTATATTTTATTTTTGAGAGCTTTTTTAATAAAGAGAATTATGTTGTATTTTCTTTCTACTAAGTAAAATAAAAACACAGAATAAAAAAATTAATTCTGAAATTATTGTCTATATAAGTTAATTTATTTTTAAACATAAGTACCAATTTATTGATTATTTCATAGCTGGCATTCATTATTTCTTTAATTTTTTGCACATTTTGTAAGTCAGGTGAAATTATGCAGTTTCTGTTTTTGACCTATGACATCTCAGGCTACAGTGCATAAATAAACATTATTTTTCATTATGTCTTAAGTAAAAAGTAAGCATTACTTTTACAAAATCCAGTTAATACTTAAATTTAATAATTTACTTTGTAGCATACCTCTATAGCAAATATTAGATTTTTAAGAGATTTTTAAATTTGTTGTTTACATTTTTCATTGATATTGGCAGTTTGATGAGTTAATAACTGACAAGTGAACATGCCAATGCTTTAAAAATGTGCAAACTTTATTTGCATAAGGAAATTAATTTTTCTTTTAATATGGGTTAATTATAGGCTATTATCTTCAAAATAAAAGCAAAATTTAAATTCAAATAAGACATTTGTTTAAAATATGTTTTTGAGTTTTTGTAGGAAGTCCAAGGCCGTACCTGATTATAAAAAATTTAGTGTAGAAGAAAAGGAAAATGAACAGAGAATAGGCTGCACTAAAGGTAGTTTCACCCAACACCTCACATTGCTACAAAACCAAAACATTAAATAGTCTCATTAGCTTGAGATTTTCATATGGATGTCATACATGGCACCAAACACGTTCAGAAATATCTAGACTGCCAGCTCTATACAACCACTTTCTCAGATCAATGTTTAAAAATAGCTTTGAACGAATGAAACCTGCAGGTCTTAGCAAGGACCCTCCTTTTTGCAATCTCATGGACTGGTGCTACAGAACTTTGCCACATCACTTGAGGACTTCCAACAGTAGCCATGACTAAACAGAATAGCACATGTCACTGGTAGGGAAAATAATAACATATTCATGATGCACACAACTTCATACAAAAGGTTAACAAGTAAGACTCCATTAATGCTTGAAAGAGCTATAACAGTTAATGTACATGAGAAACCTATTTTTCTGGAAAATCTTTTAATAGAAAAATTGTATAAATTTCAACCAAAAGTAACAGAGTGCTCCGTTACTGCCAGTCACGATGAATAGATATTCCCTTGAAGAGGCCCTGTGCCTCAAGAGAATATTGGGACTCAAACTCACACCTGACCTTAAGTGGAATTCCTATATATGATTCATCGCTAAAGATACAGGTAAAATGATTGGCTCCCTGTACCACTCTAATAAGAAACCTGTCTTCTCATGCTATCCTTTGCTTTTAATAAGAGCCAGGTCAGGCTGAAAATAGAGTACTGTTGCCATATGTGCGAGAAAACGGAGAGGGAGGGGGGGGAACAACTTCTTGTGACACAAAAACGAACGCCTTCTTGCGAACCTGGAACAAATGCCTTCTTGCGAACGAACACTTTACAACAGCAAACGAGCAAAACAGCACCCAAGACTTCTGCCGACGGACGACCGACTGCAATGGATTTTATCGCCCTAGAAAAGACACCAAACGACTCGCGTGTCTTCTTCTTGTAGTCCTCGGTCGAGTCCATTATGGTACTCCAAGGTGACAGCACACACACGCAGTTTGAGGACGTTTCCGTGCATGCTCGTTACACCATATTTGAGTGGGAGCTGCCCAGACCTCACTTTCCAGTCTTGATAGAATTCAAAAGCATCTCCGAGTCCTTGTGGGAGAAGAATTATTTTCCACACTCCTCTCTCTCTCTCTCTCTCTCTCTCTGGCGGGATATGGTGAGTCTCTCACTGCTCTATCACTACTACCATGGAAAGTGCTCAGACTAACTGCATCTCCTGGTTCCACCAGGTCAGAACTTCACGGCTAGGACCCGCCATGCCACTTATATAGCAGAAAACCACCAATATTCACTCCATATTCCATCAGCGATAGGTAAGTTCCACTCAAACAGCTTCTTCCTGTGAACCACTACCCTATGGAACAGATTTCCTAGAGGATGTTTCCCTGATAACTACTGTCTTAACCTGTTCAAGTCTAGAGTCAATTGTTATCTTCGTCTCTTATCCATATAAACTACTCCTTAATATAACCCTTTACCTCAAGTGAATGTTGAATGTTTCCTTATAAGGAAACAGCTAGTGTTACCATTATCATTACTATTATTATTACCATTGAAACTGATTACTAGAGCTCTTTCATTAATTGGAGGAAATTAAAATAACAGATATTGTTCAAATTAGTGTTTCAAACAAAATATGTTTGTTTTATCTGAAACAATGAATTATCTCCTTACATACTATGCTCATATTTTTTAAATTTTTTTTGTTTCTTAAAGTAGATTCTGATCCCATTTTTAGAATTCTGAAACGTGGAATCTAAAGAAAGCAGTATGGAATATATAGTTGAGATATGCAGTCACAAACACTGAATTATATTTTGGATAAAAAATAATTGAAATATATTGCATCTCAAACGCTAGCCTTCATTTTTATTTCAAATGAATGATTTTCTCAAAACCAAAGGGAGTCTTAGAATATGAGTCTACTCAAAAAGATTTACATGGTATGTAAATATAAATGAATAATTTGTTTGAAACGCTAAACTTAACAATAGCCAGAATACATTTAACACTGTTACCAAGAAACATAAATTCAAGTGATGAAAGATGTAATGGAGAATCTGACAAGAGACTCAGAGTTGGTTGCATGTGATGCAGTAAGCACCAGGAGTTACGTCCCTTTCCACAATTGGCTGTTGAGAGAAAGAGCATTCTACTGAGAGTAGGTGACACTGACAAAAATTGCATATGAACAATACTGAGTAGGTATTAGCAAATAGTAAGTATTGGTCTGGCACTAAGAGAACTATATAACACCAGCTTTTTCTCAGGAGAAAGCACTCCTGACATGCGAACCGTGAGAGTTTGTGAGTTTATCATTTCACTTTGTTAAGAAAACCAGATAAGACGAAGAAAATACTATTGTAGTAAGTTGACAGATGCTTAGAGATGGCATGGTTATGGATTAGAAATTAGGTCAGAAAGGGCATCAACAATTTATCGGAAATTACATTTTGTAGACAATGGAAAATGTGACGCTGAAATCCAAAACTGTATTAAACTAGCAAAAATTTAAAGAAAAAGTATTTCCAACTTTGATCTTCAAAAATTTAAATGCAATGTCAATCATCATCTACCGTATTCTTGATTACTCTTCTATTGTTCTCGCTTTTTAATAATATTTTGCTTTCTTCTTATTCTTTCATACTTAGTAACCGCATGAGTCTTAGTGTAGGAATGCAATGGAAAATGATTTTTACTATAGGAATGCATTGGAAAATGATTTTTACTATAAGAATATATTTGAAAATGATTTTCACTATAGGAATGCATTAGAAAATGATTTTTACTATAGGAATGCATTAGAAAATGATTTTTACTATAAGTGCATTTGAAAATGATTTTTACTATAGGAATGCATTGGAAAATGATTTTTACTGTAGGAATGCATTGGAAAATGATTTTTACTGTAGGAATGCATTGGAAAATGATTTTTACAAGAGGAATGCATTGGAAAATGATTTTTACTGTAGGAATGTGTTGTGGCCTTGTTAGAACCAGTAAAGACACATGAGAGGAATTGTGTTAAACAAATATATTAACAGAAACAGTAATACAACGATATACAAACGAGAGTGTTACAGCAAGAATGTTTGGTCCGACTGTCAGAGCTGACTGCTGGAAACTTCCCTCTCTAAAAGGCAATACCTGCTCCTATTTATAGCTGGGAGAGTCCATGCTGGCTTGAGTAAATTACCATAACAAATATCAATCGTTATCTACCATCTTCTTGATTACTCTTCTATTGTTCTTGCTCTTTAATAATATTTTGCTTTCTTCTTATTCTTTCATACTTAGTAACCCCATGAGTCTTAGTGGCTTTACTGCCTTGCATGGAGTAATATGATTTAAAGAAAAGAAAAGTGAACTGATATGTAATATCAATCCTCTTATATGACAGTGAATACTGGACAATGTCCTCACAGATGAAGACATGGCCTGAGGTAGTAGAGATGTGGTTTCAAAGAAGGGTGCTGAAAATAATGGATAATGACTTTTACATTAGGAATCCATTGGGAATGATTTTTATTATAAGAATGCATTGGAAAAAGTTTTTCATTATAAGAATGAATTGAAATTTTTTTTTTCTATAGATATGTATTGGAAAATGTTTTTTACAATAGAAATGATTTGGAAATGACTTTTTTGGGATATATTGGAAATTATTTTAATATAATAATGTACTGAAAATGGATTTTATGAGTATATTGTAAACCATTCTAAAGGAATACAGTAAAAAGGATTTTACTAAAATAATGCACTCAAAATAGGTTTTAATATAAGAATCTGTTGGAATTGTTTTGTACTCTCTAAATGCATTGTCAATGATTTTTTACTACAGGAATTTATTGAAAATAATTTTTACTTTCAGAATGCATTGGAAATTAATTTTACTATAGGAAGCCATTGAAATGTTTCTTACTATATAAATACATTGCGAATTATTTTGAATATAGAAATTTATTGTAAATGATCCTCTTATTGAAATGAATTGAAAATCAAGAAAATTATTTGCACTAATTTCTACTTCTTTTTTCTATCTTCATCTAGAAGAAAGAATAAGCGTTATTTTCTGCTTGTTGGATTCTGTGCTTTGTTGGTGGTTGCTGTTACTTGCACAGTTGTGCTTACCACGAAAAGTCGTCATACGAAAGAGTCTTCCAGTTCAGCTTCACATGGGTATTCTTCAGCCGATCTGCCACTCTTAAATTGGGGTGTGTACAAACATGCTGCTGTTGCATCTGATGCACATACCAATTGTTCAGATATTGGAGTGTAAGTTCATTTTTGTCTTTATCTACTTTCCTATTATTTTATATATATTATATTTCCTATTATTTTATATATATTATATTTCCTATTATTTTATATATATTATATTTCTTATTATTTTATATATATTATATTTCCTATTATTTTATATATATTATTATCAATGTTATATGTTCAAAGATCTACATAACAAACATTGGCGAAGATGGTTAAAATCTTGTTGAACTGAGTTGGTCTAATTGCAAAGAAGAGTTATCAATCATGTCGGACACTTAAAAGATAGAAAGGAAAATTGGTCAAGAGTTTAACATGTGTAAAAAATTTTGCTTTTATTTCAGTGATAGTTCCAAAAATACTATTTCTTATTTGGCCCATTTTACTAGAAGCAAATGTTGATGGTATGGCAGTAGCATTTGAACCTCCCTGTCAATAACCCATAGTTTTTTCGTCTTATAGCGGCAGTCTGGCAAAATAGTGTTTGAAATGAAAATGTGGATCAGAGCTGTTTTCAATTCAGTGTGATTTCTCATCTTCATATTTAACCCTTAACTGAGGGGGAGACGACAGATTCATGCCTTTTTGTGTGAATGTCAATGTAATGATCTCAACCGGAATTTGAACTCAGCCCACCTGTTTCTTGTTTCAGGTTGCTAACCATTACACCACGTGCACATCTATAAAAGTGCATACGAAGCAATTAAAATTATTTTACTTTACCAATGTGCAGATATGCACTCAGGTGTGTTTTCAACTGAAAGATCTATTAGACACAGAATTTGAGAAAAACAATCAGAAAGGATGGACCATTAATTGTAAGAAGACTGAATTCATGGTGGTTAGCAAAAGGGACAGCCTGAGATGTGAGTTACACATTGGGGATGTTAAAATTAAACAAGTATAGAAATTCAAGTATTCCAACTGAGTAATAACATGATAGAAAGTATGACACAAAAGATGCATGTGAATAGTAAAAGATACCCTTCAGAAACTGTCAAAAGTAAAATGACAAACAGAAAGACTGCTAAAAAAATGCTACTTAATGTCTCACCTGTTATATGACATTGAAAGTGAGACAATTTCATCACATATGAAGGAAATACTTTTGGCAATTGGCAAGTGGTTCTATTGACGAATATCAAAAATACTGTAGACAGCATGTGAGAAAGAAGGAAGCTATCAGAAGAATAAAAAACTACAAAAAAAACTGTTGCTAATAATCAGAAACAGGCAACTGATATTTTTATGACACATGAGAAAAGGATGCTTGGAGAATCTAACACTCACAGGATACCCTGAAAGCAAGAGAAGCAGGGAAAAGTAATGAGTAATCTAATTGACAAATTTGGGCAAATTATTAGAGAATTGTGATTGCCTATGTCCAAAAGGGACAGCATATAGAAAGGGCATATATGTGTGTGTGTGTGTGTGTGGGGGGGGGTAATCTCTGATAGCTTTCACAGGAGATCAAGTGATAGCAAGTCACTGTAATATTTCAGCATTCACTTCTGTAGTCATTCTGATTTTAGTTAGACTAAACATAATCATGTAGAAAATGGCCAGCAACAAAACCTCATTTTCTAGTTTGCAGAATCTAAAAAGGAGGTAAAAAAAACTGTCCATTTTGACTACATGAACTGTGCACTTGGAGAAGACCATAGAATGGATCTGTCAGAACACTGTGGTAACAAGAAAAGCAACAAATAGAATGAGATTAATATACTAAACTATTCTTAGACCAATAATGACAACTTTATTCCATAGGGATTTTCACCTGAAGAAGACCATAGAATGAATTTTTTTTTAATCATTTCACCCCAAGTAAGGCAGGAATGCCACTAGTATGTTTGGAGTTACAGGGAGCGAAAGTGAAAAAAAGGCTGAGTATAAGGAAGATTATGGAAAGGATAAAAGATAAACAGGATAGATAGATGACAATTGATGTTGCGTAAAATTTTTTTAATGATTATCACCCCATCCAATTTTTATGATTATAGTTTATGGAAAAATGAAGGTAATTTTTTAAATGATCACTAAGAAGATATGAGTTTATATAAAAAAAAATCTATTTTATTGTTCCTAGAAACAATTCTGTTCCTAATTCTTCCACACCCTGTAACGACTTGTGTCTTAGTGGTTACAGGTTGTGGAAGAATTAGGAACAGAAACATTAATAATGAGCAGGAAGAGAAAAATGTAATCAGGAGGACAGTAGATGGTGATTGACATTGCATTTAAATTTTTGCAGATTAAAGTTGGCTGGAAAGCATGGAGCTGGAAGGGATTTCCACAAGCAAGAAGTGTGAGAAAAGAAACTGTTAGCATATAATTTACAATTAAATCTAGCCAGCTCAACTGTAAATTGATGAGATCTCAATGCCAGTCTAGTGGTGCGCTTAAATTCAAAATGTCTGGGCACCATAGCGAAGAGTTCCTCTGTACAGTTACCATGAAAGTATTTATAGAAATTATATTTTGAATGCAATTTTATGCATTCAACTACAGGTGTTTTGAACATAATTTTATACTTTCTGAGTAAACAGATATTTTATAGATATTGTCGTAACTTAGAGAAGGTTATTGAATAGAATAATCAAACAAAGTAATGAATGATAATACTTAGGACAAGAACAACTCATATAAGATTTGTCAGTGGCACATAGAAGTAGTAGTCAACTGCTAGAAGTGAGTCAAGTGAATTCCACAATGAATCTGCAGAATGCAGAACAACATACAGTATTCACTATTATATTTATGGGAATGGGGGTATACCGATTATCATCTATAGGTATGATACAATCTTAGATTATTCCATTCTGTCATTTATTTTTATTCTCTCCACTCCATTAGTGAGTCTGCTTCTTCATTCTGTCTATTGGCAGAATACAGAGGCCACTCTTATTTTGAGGGGTGGATGGTTCCTACTAACATTTGGTTTAGTTTATTTTTGGTACATCTTTAGTTCGTTTATTGGGTTCATCCTCTCCTCATCATTTCATGAAATTTTTATATATTTTTATATTATAAACTGTTCACATTTTTATGGCACGGGGTGTTTTTTTTTTTAGCTCCTCTGTGAATATGTGGTATTGTGGTGTATGTAGGTTGGAGTGGTGATGGATGGGTTCTTGTGGTGAATGGTCAAATTGTAATGAACGAATGGCTCGTGATTGTGATTAACTAGGAGTAGGATAGCTAATGAGTACCAGTTCTTTTTTCCCACTCCCCCTTTAGGCCTTGTGCCACAATTTTTGTATTATGTTAGTCAGTTATGTTCCATGCATAATACCCATGTAGGCGATCATGTATCTTTTGATACATGACTGACGAGGCAAATTTTTTCCCACAGTAGGTTGCCATTTCTTTCTGCAGTAGACCAGTTGCAATCCAAGGCTATAGAACCCAGTCTGTCCTGCTATTTATCCATAGCTGGGTGAAGAAGAAGAGGATTCATACCTTTCCCAAGGGTATTAACACGTAAATGAATGTAATGGATTCAACTGGAATTCAAACTTGGCTCTCCGATTCCTCAATCCAAGTCGCTATTCATTACTTTGCCATGATTATAGCAGGAATAAATACAGTGTACAATACAGCAGATCGGTTTATTCAATAATATATATATTTGGGAAACAATCTTTCTTTCAAACATCTTTCATTGAATATGGTGGACAAGGAAAATTTCCTTAATTTTTTATTTAGTTTTTCTTGTGTTCTTATATTTTTCTGTTTGGTGAAAGTGACCAATTATAAAAACTGTCCATACCATCCATTGTCCCAAGTGCTTTTGGACACTTCCTTAGCTATTTTCAAGGGGGTTTTATTTTGGTGTTGTTAGTTTCTTTTCATGTTTGAACTGTTTGAGATGTATTTTTTGTGTGGTTTTGAATACTTGCATGTGTATTTATTCCAAGCCATCATGTATTGAATATGTTTTGATAAAAAATAAGAGCAAAATTATAAATCTAAAATCGACTTTTGAAAAAACTCAATGTTAAAATTTACATACAAACTCATGGTTAATAACAAAATCACATTTCTCAATGTCGATATAAAACTAAAATCCAAAGTATTTACCAGCTACGTGTATAAAAATAACACCAGCATGAACTCTTGTCTTCTAAACTATGATAGCCAATGCCCGGAAAGATATAATAGCAATGATAAAAAAAAAAACTTCCTAAATAGAGCATACCTAAATTCCTCTTCCCACAGTATTTCTGAGTGAACTAAAACACAAAACAAACATTAGTCAACAATAATTTTCCCAATCACATCATTGATAAATAAATAAAATTATTCTTACAAAAAATACATGACACCAATAGAACACAACAAACATCAATATATTTTACAGTAACTTGTAAATGTAAGAACATTGGAAAAACTAAATAAAAAATTAATTATATATATATATATACACACACACACACACACACACATATATATATATATATATATATATATATATATATATATATATATAGTTAAACCTAGAGAGCCAGACAAACCTACCAAGGCAGATCATCAGGGAAGCCTTCCTTGATGATCCGCTTAGGTGAAACCTTGGTAGGTTTGTCTAGCTCTCTAGGTTTAACTATGTCTGCTCTACTCACTGTATTGAGCACTTTATTTAGTTATTTTGCGTACTTGCATTGGTTTTTTTTTCTTTGGGCCTTGGACTTGCATCTGGATGATTATTTTCAGCTAACGTACATGTTCTTGGTTCTTTCTTTTTTTATACCTTTTTTTTTCCCTTTGGTGGTGGTTTGATTATTTGAAAATCAAGACTCCAAAGGTTTTCCGAACAAGTATAGTTTCTTATACTTATAAGTTTTCTTATACTTATAAGATTCCTATTAATATATATATATATATATATATATATATATATATATATATATATATATATATATATATATATATAAAATTGTGTATTTGGGCAGCAATCCTCTTTTATTCAATAACTATGAACACAGACACAATGTGTTGACCATGTTTGGAAAATAAAAAAACATTCCATCACTCTAGATACATATCTAAAAATCTGCAGTCAGTTAGTTATGTGCCATGTGTGATACACGCATAGGCAATCATGTATCTTTTGATACATGACTGACAAAGCAGATTTTTTTTTCCGCAGTAGGTTACCATTTCTGCAGTAGACCAGTTGCCATCCAAGGCTATAGAACCCTGTCTGTCCTGCTATTTACTCATAGCTGGGGGGAGAAGAAGAGGATTCATACCTTTCCCAAGTGTATTAGCATGTAAGTGAATGTAATGGATCTGACTGGAATTCGAACTTGACTCTCTGATTTCTCAATCTGAGCCACTATCCATTACTCTACTGTGTCTCCTATCTGCACATTCAGTTAAAAATAAAAAAACATCCTTGATAATGGCTAATAAAATAGCCAAAAGCACACAGATATATAGAATATTCAGACAGTTTTTACAGACTTTATGTCCAGAAAAGAAAATCACTTAAATGAACACAAGAAAAATTGGATAAAAGGCTTAATCATATATATTACCGATAACCCTCTAGGGCACCACATATATATTGATGAGACTTTATCATTAGTCAAGTACTGCGCTTAAATTCATAAAGTTTAGGTACCCTGTCAAAGAGCGATATTTATTCTGTTTAATACAGAAAAGTGGCACAAGGCCGAAAAGGGGATTGGGGAAAGGATGGTCTTCTTCTGTCTTAACTATAACTTAGCTAGCCGCAAACACTGACCCAATCGTACGAACAATATTCCTTACACCAAAACAACACATTCATACGTACCTTTCTTACTACAACCACCATAATACCTCTTTGTCTCTATGAAAATACTAACTAGTCCCTATATTTACAATTCGTTGTCTGTGGGGGGAAGGGAATAAAACAACAATTCTAAAAGTTAACCCCAATGAGTATTTACAATATGTATACAAAAACTATTTACAAGAAACTAAAGAAAATAAGATTAGTAATAAAAACCCCCACAATTACTAAATGTGACAGAAACTTCACTTCACTGGCCAAAATCAATGCGGGACTATAATAGTATAAACCATTCATTCATCCCAATCACTCACACTGACATGCACTCATTCAGGCACAACAACAAATACGAAAAAAAAACAAAAAAACAAAAAAAAAAAACAACAAAGAGCTCATCCAAACAGTTGCCATGGAAGTATTTATAGAAAATGTACAAGGGGGAAACTTTACAGCAGTGGGAAAGCAACTGAAGCCAAGATGTCAGATCAGGACCAATAATATTGCTGATTTATTTTGGGATTTTATCAAGGATCTTTAGATATATGGCAGGAGAACTGGACCATATGTGGCAGCAATATTCTAATCATGAGTAAATGGTAGACTTATAGATATGTAAGATAGATTCAGGAGAGAAAAATTGTCTAGCACAACACAGTGAACCAACTTTCTTAGCAGCTGACCTAGCAATGGATTCAGTATAGTCTTTCCATTTCAGTGGTTCTTAACCTTCTTTTGGCCATACCTCATCTAAACATCTCTAAAAATCCTGATGCTCCCTCCCCCTTGTGACATATAATTCTTATTATTCAAAAGGTGAGGATTCATGTGGAGGAAGCCTAAAAAACTATTAACTTAGTTTAAACAAACTTTGTTAGCCCGAGGGGTTTAAAAAAAACATTAAAGAACTGTTATATAATAGTTCCTTTGTTGTATATAAGAATGAAAATTCTCTTTAAGTGTAAAGCATTATATACAAAAGATCTCAATTTAGGTTTGGTGAAATTTAAAATTCTATTTACAGGAACATTCTGAAGCAAAAAGGTTCCGTTGTAGATGCTGCAATTGCTACCATTCTTTGTGTGGGAATCGTAAATTTTCAGAGCTGTGGAATTGGTGGTGGTCATGTAATGACAATATACATCAAGTAAGAACTGTTTGTTTTTCAGATCAAACACTTTCCTTCTCAATATCAACACTTTTCTTTCTTTTCTCTCTTTTCTCTGTCTATCTATTCAACATTACCTCGACAAGCTTAAGGAAAAGCCAAGGTTTATCAATGCTGGTGTAAACACACAGCTGGACTCTCTCTCTCTCTCTCTCTCTCTCTCTCTCTCTCTCTCTCATTGACTGGACAAATCACACCACATTGTGTCTCGATTCTCATTTGTGTTGTATGAACAAAAACTTGGAAAGGCCTGTTGTACATTCACAAGGAAAATGAAAGGTGAAAATATCCCCACAGAAAGAAATGAAGTGTCAAATCCAACTTCCAATATATTTAGTTATTTATTCATGGATTCACTTTTCTTCGTCTATATAGGTGACACTTTGGCCATCTTTTCTGCTACTTTTGTCTTTTCTCAATGCAGACTCATGGGCCAGATCTTTTTTTTTTTTTTTTGGCCAATGAGAACACTAACTCTCCTCTACAACACCTATGTCTATCTCTACATCCCAATGTTCCACTTGTTACTTGCTAACTGGTGACTTGAAAATGACTATTCTGTGACTCTGCCTATATGAGTCTACAACCAGGATTTCCTAAATTCCGACTAAATGGCACTTGATCCTGAAAGTTTTTATTTATTTATCTATTTATTTTATTTCCTTTTTCTTCCCTGTGGAGACAGTGTTTAGTTGCTTTGAAGACTTTACTCATAGATTTTATTGTCTACGCAATCATAAAATATGCTGCACTTCCAGTTCAGATAAAATCATTCTCAATTCTTTCAGCCATTATAACTTGTAATAAAGGAAAAAAACATTAAAAGTTCTAAAATTGACAATATAGCTTCTGTATTACTGAAGTTTAAAATGGATGATATGACTTTGAAAAAGGAGAATTTGGTTTTTAATTAATGTCGCACTTTTAAATGCTGATTTTCAAAATAAGCCAATTCTCCTTATTTGGGAGTGCAACAAATTTTTTAATCTCTGTTTTTCTGCGATTGGCATTGTGCCAGACTAGCTAAGCATTGTAAATATCTGTGAAAGTTATTTACTCTATTTACATTTGGATCATTGTCCTCATCTTTGTTGTTACCACAATGTTTTGGCCATTGTGCAAACTACAGGGATTTCAAACTGAACTCTATATTTAATTTACTAGGGTAGATTGTTCTCATTCCACTGTCCATGTCTAGGGATATCTCATCAAGTTCTTAATTTTAGTACTGCCCAGTTATTGCTCATCCTGTTTCTACTGAATCCAAGTACACACTGTCCAGCCCAGGAATTGAACTCATAATTACTATGTCACCAAATTCACAAACCAGTCCACTGCCCATATCTAGGGATATCTCATCTAGTTCTTATTCAGTACTGTTCAGTTATTGCTTGCCTCATTTCCAAGCCTGCACTGCCCTGCCCTGCCCAGCCAAAATTCATGAAGCCCTTCTGGTTTTCATTAGGAGCTTGTCAATCCCGGTATCTTCAGGGAATTTTGAACTGGACCCTTTATTTAATTTACAAGGGTAGATTGTTCTTGTTCCACTGCTCATGTCTAGGAATATCTCATCTAGTTCCTATTTTTAGTACTGCTCACTTATCACTCACCCTGTTCCCACTGAGTCCAAGTACACACTACCCAGCCCAGGGATTGAACTTACACACCTGATGAAGGCTGGAGGGCACAATGACTAAACGTTGTAATAAAATCAAAAAGGTCAATAGTCTGAATTTAAATCATGTAAATAATGATAAATCCTCACCCTTGAAATTCAGAGAGAATACAATCAGATGATAATAACAGCAAAGACGAGGACATTAGTCTGAATGTAAATAATGATAACTCCTTATCCCAAAAATTAAAATGGAATATCTGTGTGTTGTAGGGAACAAACTGATAACCCTCAGTATACAAAGAACTGATGCACCTCTATTAAATGGATTGTTCCAGTAGGAATATAAGCATCTATGGTGTTGGTCTCAGTGGGGCTTGCTTTCCAGCTTCGGCTTGAGCAAGCACCAAGACATCAAACTCTCTGCCTTCAGGTAGAGAGGAACCCAGATGAGGCTATACCAAAGGGCAGAGTCTCGCTTGGTGAGGTAGACAAACCTGACCCTGTGTATGCAAGGTCTACGGGAAATTTTTGCCCAAGCCTATTGCCTCAGATCAATCCACATAAAAATCGGCCTTGTGCCACATCTTGGTTTGTGGGGAGGTCAGGTAAATACCAGTAAATACCAGCTTGCTTTCCAGCTTCAGACAAACTTGTAAATATCTACTTGTATTGTTCTTGTTTAAAATAAACCCTTATACATTGCCCTCCCTCCCACTTAAAAAAAATCAAATTGCCCATCCCCATGGGAATCATGGATCTAGCCAATTCAACTGTAAATTGATGAGACCTTATTATAAAACAACTGTACTTAAATTCATAAATTATAGCAAGGTTCATCAGAAAAATTACCATGAAAGCATTTATGGAAAAGGAAGCAACATTATGGTGGTGGGAAAGTGATAAAAGCCATGATGCCAGGTCAGGATTAATAACATTGCAGATTCCTCTTTGAATTTCAGCAAAAATCTCTAAATATATAGCAGGAACATCAGACCATATTTGGCAGCAATATTTAAAGCATAGATGAATGGTAGACTTATAAATATGTAAGATTGATTCTGGAGAGAAAAATTGTGTAGTATGACATTGTGGACTAACTAACTTAGCATCAGATTCATCAGTTGATTCAATACAATCTTTCCACTTTATATCAGCCAAGAATGTTAGCTTGAGATGGCAAAATGACTCACTCACATGGAGATTAGCATCGACCATGTTGATAAAAGGCAAAAAGGGGTCTACCAGATGTTTCCTATTTGTATTTTGCATTTCCGTTCATTTATTCTTCTCTCCTATGCTAATCTTTATTCTTTTATTCTGTTTGTATTCTGCATTCTCTATTCCATTATTCTTGTTTTCTTTTGAATCTTTATTCTTTTATCCTGTTTGTATTTTGCATTCTCTATTCCTTTATCCTTCTTTTCTATTCAAATTTTTATTCTTTTATTCTGTTTGTATTTTGCTTTCTCTATTCCTTTATCCTTTTCTATTTGAATCATTATTCTTTTATTCAGTTTGTATTTTGCATTCTCTATTCCTTTATCCTTCTTTTCTATTCAAATTTTTATTCTTTTATTCTGTTTGTATTTTGCTTTCTCTATTCCTTTATTCTTTTCTATCTGAATCATTATTCTTTTATTCTGTTTGTATTTTGCTTTCTGTATTCCTTATTATTCTTTTCTATTCAAATCTTTATTCTTTTATTCTGTTTGTATTTTGGATTCTCTATTCCTTTATTCTACCTTTCCTTTCTGTTGGCCTATTCTTTTATTCTTGTTAATTCCATTTTTATAGAAAAGAAAGAAATGCCACTGCAGTTATTGGTAGAGAAACAGCAGCAGCATTTGCTAGTGAGGATATGTATGTTGGGGGTAAAGCATCTTCTGATACAGGTAAGTAATTAATTAATTGGAATGTGCAAATAGTGTAATTGACATGCAGAATGGGAGCAGTGGGCTAAGTTCAAAATTCAGCCTAATCTGCTCTGTTCCCTTTGGCAATAATGCCCTTGGGAAAGGCATTAATCTATATCCCGCCACCTATAGGTTAAATATCAGGGTAGACAGGGCTGTCTAGCCTTGGTAATGGCAATTGTAATATTAGCCATTTCCCTATAAGGAAACATTTAGCATTCATTGACTGAGCAGTCAGTACTGCTTTCACTTGAAATTTATAAAATATTTCTCTTAAAACAGTTCATCAGGAAAATAGGTTTCTCAAGTCCAGTAGCTGTTATCACCCTTTCCAGTACTTATGGGGGTTTCCTGTCTATCCTTTTGTTTGGAGCTGTGTAGAGCATCAGCCTCTTGATTATATCATTAATTTCTCTTCAAGTTACATGTGATATCTATTTTAGTTGTTGCTGCTGATGGTAGTCCTCACATGATATGATTTATGTTATTTGGTACAGTTCTTTGTGATTTTGTAGTGCCACTCCACAATATTTAAAGAAGGATGGTCTTTTCCAAGGCCCATAGGCTTCACATGTTCAAAGCCATTTTTAACCATTGATCTTAGAAAGAGGTTGTATACAGCTGACAGTTTAGATATTTCTGAACAGGCTTGGAACCATGCATCTATATGACAGTCTCGATCTGATGAGGCTGTTTAAGAACAGTCTTGGTTTTGTAACAATTTGCAGCATTATGAGAAAATACCTCTGGTAGCTTATTCTATGTTCAATTTCTTTTTCTCCTCTACTTAATTTTTATATAACTGATCCATATGCTAAGGTATTTGAAATGTTAAGTACTTACTAATTCCACATCCTGAGTTTTTATGATCGATCTAGGGTAGGTGTCTTCACTGTTTTCATTCCAATTCCCAAACATAGTAGAAAGGTTTATCTTGAGCCCTATTTCATGAAAAACTTTGTAGAGGATGTTGATTTTATATTCAAGATCATTCTTATCCCAACTATGACTCCCTGTTGCCTATGTCGTCAGCATAGCCCTCCTCATCATCAGTACATTGGCCGCAGGAGGAAAAACAAGATCATTCTTTTCTATTGGTAAACTCGTTTTGGATCTTGTATGCAGTGCTTAAATGATCAGTTGCTATCTCATCCCATCTTTGTAGGAAGAGATTAAATAGACTAAGGCTATCATTTCCTCCTTGTTGTACATCTGTTGAGGTCTGAGATGTTGCCATACTCTGGTTCCTGCCAGATATAAGATTTGGGTAGCAGATAGTCTAGAAAAAGGACTACAATGAATTCAAGACCATGGAGAAGTTAACAGGAAACTATTCCACTATTTTACCTAAGAATTCATGGTAAATCATAGATAATAAAAAAAAAGGAACCTGTATAGAGCCATGATCACATATATCCTGAAAGGATATGATATTAAAAAATTAAGTAAATAAATAAGGTAAATTGATGATTTTGGGTGTCAGTTATTTTAAATTAATAAGAGGTCATAATGTGTCATACTACAGTGTGCTATCTTTATTATAATGATCTCATTACTTTATACTATAATACAGTAAAAATAGCACATTGTAGTGCAATTTTTACTAGTGCACTACTGTTAAAAGGTTCTTAGATAATAAATCAATAAGGTTATCACTTTCTAAGAAATTTTTAATCAAGCAGAATTTTACAAAAAAAAAATTATCTAAGGGAGGTAACTCTAAGTCTACTAACTGTTAATTACAGATATTTCTTTGAATTTTCTTAATAAGAAGATAAGACAATTAAGTAGAGAACAATCCCTGACCCGTAAGCACATTCTTCCATCAGCTATAATAGTGTACCAATGACAATACTTTAATAATAGTAAATGATAGTAATTAAGGTTAGTTAATTAGCACTTGCAATTTATTATATATTCTATAAATCCTGTAACATTATTGTACAAACTCATAACAACATGAGGTTAAATCTCTTATATGTAAAATTATGTCTCATCCAACCTTTGGACTTTGTCAATATAGGCAAGTGGGTGTGTAACTTTGGGGGTTTTCTCCAAACATGGATTCTTCATCTCATAAAAATGTGAGTGCTTATACCTCTACCTGTCATCTTGTCCCATGTGTACACATGCTAAGCACACCTGAGTTGACAACCTGTTTACATGTTGGGAGTAGCCACTGGCATCCATGAAGGTGCACCTTCATCTGCACCTTTCATCTGGCTGATGCACCTATCTTCTCTGACACTCTTGTGTAATACTGAGATTAAAGTCTATTCTGCTATCATCTGGGGTGAGCTAAGTGCATATTAGGAGTTACCACAGATCAATTCTCTTAGAACAAAACCTTCTTCTTGATTAAATTCAAGACTATCTGATATTTCCTGACATGAATCAAAAATAACTAGGCCCATGAAAGATATCATTTTAACTAGTTGTTTAATAGAGAGAATTTCTTCTGGACTTTTATTAAAAATATATCACTTTGTAGTCTAATACTTTAGACAAATTTATCTGTATACCTATCCTTTGTAGCTGTATCTCACAGAAAAAGGGCTTACAGCCACATCATGTTGAAGCACTGGTTCAGGAAGTTAAGCAAATTCAAGCCTGGTCAGTATCTAGACAAGTGACCATTTGGGAATACCAGGTGCTGTCAGCTTGGATGTGCAGCTGGTGTAATGAATAATAGCTTATAATTGTTATTCGGAGAGCCCAGTTCCAATTCCAGTTGGGTTCATTATATTCACTTACATGCAAATACCCTTGGGAAAGGCATGGATCCACCTGTTCTTCCCTCCATAGCTATAGGTTAATTAGTAAAATTTGTATCACTAAACCTTTATTATCTCCAAAGAAAAAAATATTCTTACAACCTAAAAATAGTTTCTGGCTTTAAATAACCTGCAAAGAATTGATAAGCTGTAGAAAATGAATAAATCGATCAATCAAATACTGATTAGCTACACAGGCATGTCTTTTTGATTTATTTATATTCTCTGGAATATAAATGTATAGAAACTGCCATGACCACAAAGTGAGGGATCATTTTGCATATTGATTGTAATATAGAATTGTTCCCCATTTTATATCCACATTATAATTTCTTATTTGTTTATTAAATTTTGATTAGATATGAATTCACCTCTTATCTCCCAACTGTGGGTTAATTAGTAAGACTTGTATCACTAAAACATTATTATTCCCCGCCCACCTCCCAAAAAAATGCTTACAATCTAGTAATATTTTCTGGCTTTAAATAACCTGCAAAGGGTTGATAAACTGTAGAAAATGAATGAATCAATCAAAACTGATTAGCTACACAGGCATGTCTTTTAGATTTATTTATATTCTCTGGAATATAAATGTATAGAAACTACCATGGCCAAAAGTGAGGGATCAATTTATATACTGATTGTAATATGGAATTGATCCCCCACTTTATATTGTAAAAATTCTTACAATCTAAAAATATTTTCTGGCTTTAAATAACCTGCAAAGGGTTGATAAACTGTAGAAAATGAATGAATCAATCAAATACTGATTAGCTACACAGGCATGTCTTTTAGATTTATTTATATTTCTGAATATAAATGTATAGAAACTACCATGGCCAAAAAGTGAGGGACCAATTTATATACTGATTGTAATATGGAATTGATCCCCCACTTTATATTAAAGTAAAAATTCTTACAATCTAAAAATATTTTCTGGCTTTAAATAACCTGCAAAGGGTTGATAAACTGTAGAAAATGAATGAATCAATCAAATACTGATTAGCTACACAGGCATGTCTTTTAGATTTATTTATATTCTCTGGAATATAAATGTAAAGAAACTACCATGGCAAAAAAAGTGAGGGATCAATTTATATACTGATTGTAATATGGAATTGATCCCCCACTTTTATATTAAAGTAAAAATTTTTACAATCTAAAAATATTTTCTGGCTTTAAATAACCTGCAAAGGGTTGATAAACTGTAGAAAATGAATGAATCAATCAAAACTGATTAGCTACACAGGCATGTCTTTTAGATTTATTTATATTCTCTGGAATATAAATGTATAGAAACTACCATGGCCAAAAAGTGAGGGATCAATTTATATACTGATTGTAATATGGAATTGATCCCCCACTTTATATTAAAGTAAAAATTCTTACAATCTAAAAATATTTTCTGGCCTTAAATAACCTGCAAAGGGTTGTTAAACTGTAGAAAATGAATGAATCAATCAATAAACACTAAAAATGCATGAAAGGACAACAAATCCCATTTTCATTTCTACACATGTGCAGAGCATTTCAAGACAATCTCATACTTTCACTGGAACTCATTGGAATCGGCCAGAGTAAAGATACAACAGTAGAATATAGTGTTATTTTTATTTGAATGATTACAGGATGTTTCATGTGAGTTCCCTCGGTCAAATCCACATCAGCACCTGATCATGTGTACTTAGTTGGTCACATTATTATGTGAGATAGACTTAGGTGATTCTTTTAATCACATTATATTAGCAAGAGTTTTGATCATGGTACACTTTGGTCAAGTAAAGATGATTAATATCCAAAGCAAGAAAAGGATACCAGTTCATTTGATTTTACTAATACTGCCCTAATTAAAAAAAAGGACATAATTCTTTAAGGAGAAAATACTTTAAAAGCATAATGTAATGAGTTGGTCGGTCAACTTGAAACCCCCAAAGTGAGTGGAGGTGGGCAGGCGCGATAACTGTGATTGGTAGCTGGCTTGTTGGTGTTTTGCATAGGTGAGTTACCAAGCTCTATGTAAAGGGCTGGAATGAGAAGGAGGGTAATTTTCAGTCTCAGAAGTGGAGACTGTGTCCGTCGCTACGACAGCAGGAGAGAAAGAGACGAAATCATTTATTTTTTCATGACACATTCCAACATACATAATACTAACATCATTACTAAATATAAATGCATGTCTAAAACAGTATATTACATCACCATCCTTTATTGAATCCATTCTTAAAGAATCTAACTTATGTCTATCTAATACAAACAGTATGTACCTAAAAACATTTCCAGGTTAATAGAATACCACCTCACTATACTGACTGACTACACAAAGGTGAAAACATTAGATCTCTACATACTAGACACACACATACACAATTACATATACACATTATCATCCAATCTCCACATAGACAAAATATATTTTTACAAACTTACATATAGAATTATCTATGGTTTTAATGCACATGATATATGACTGACCAATGAGAAGCAAACCACACAAAATTGAAAATACCAGAACTTCCGTTTTTTTTATTTGTTTTCTCTCAGTCTCTGATGAAGCTTTAATACAAAATGAAATATGTTAGATTCAAAATGTTTCCTATTTGTTCTTTATCTCATATATATATATATATATATATATATATATATATATATATATATATATATATATATATATATATATATATATATATATATATATATATATATATATACATATATATGGTGGATTCTCCTGTTGTATTTCACGTATGAGTGTCAGCAACTCAGTTCCTAAGAACCAACATCCCAGACAGCAGCACATATGATTTGATTTTAGTGTTGAAGGCTTTGTGCAGAATCAACTACACTTTTCAAAAGGATGAATACAGAGACCTAGTGCACTTTGTGCCACAAGGTCCCCAAACAAACTTCTGCCAGATTTGAACTCAGAGTTGTCCTTCTCCTAGACCAGTTACAATCCAAAGCTATAGATCCCAGTCTGTCCTACTAATTAACCATAGTTGTAGGGAGAAGAAGTAGATTCATACCTTTCCTAAGGGTATTAGCATGTAACTGAATGTAATGGATTTGACTGGAATTCGAACTTGGCTCTCCAAGCCCTTGTTCAAGCCACTACCCACTACTCCTCCACCGTACCTCCTTATATTTATATATATATATATATATATATATATCAAGTATGTGGTGCAGTTCAATTTACATTACATGAATCATTCATATAAAAAACAGATATAGATATATGCAACTGGAATTTATAAACAGGGATCATAACATTCATCTACAGGTTCGGGGTTAATGTACTTTATTAAATTTGTTTTTGAAGATGTATTCTCACCATTTATATCATTAACTTCTATATCTGTTTTTTGTATGAATGATTTCATAATAATATATATATATATATATATATATATATATGAATGATACAAGAAAGAACAAATAGGAAACATTTATCAATCTAACATGTTTCACTTTTATCTAACATTTCACTTTTTTTCTCACTACCTGAGATTGATAAACATTTACAATTTGTTCTTTATCTTATCGTGTAAGATTCTGATCCACATTTGATTGGCATTTGATCTTTAACTCGTATAGGTTAAGGTAAAAACATATTCCATCAAATGTTGCTTCTTGGATATCATTGTAAGAATTGTTTGCTACTGTCTTAGAAATTTTTAAAGTATTTTTTTTTCCAGTATGAAAGAAGAAATTCTATTTTTGTTTTCCACAGGTGCCATGTCTATAGCAATACCAGGTGAAATACAAGGATTGTGGGAAGCCCATAAAAGATTTGGTAAACTTCCTTGGAGGACACTTTTCCAGCCAACCATCAAAATGTGTCTTGAAGGATATCCACTGGCACCAGACACAGCTGAGGCCATCCAGGGGTCTGCAAAACTAGTCAAAGCTAACTTTTCTGAATTATAGTAGGTAGCATTAAAATTACATTAATTATGAAGTATAAATTATGCTTTTTCAGGGATGGTTTTAAGACAACTGGACCCTTTGCTATGGTTTGCGCTAGGGTGATCTACTCTTCTTTTATGTGTCATGTCTTTTCAGGATGTGGACGATCATGGCTTTCTAGAGCTTCCTGTTCTTTGTAGTTATAGGTAATTGTTGTGTATGATACACCTAATTTACATAAGTGGACTACCGACCATATAAATATGGGTTGGTACCGGAAGACGGGGAAGATAGTAGAGATTAAGAAATTGAATCCAGAGACTCTGCCCGACTGCGATTTAGTCAACCCATTATGCAGGAACAGTCTTCCCAAGAATATACCAAACTAACTGTAAATATTGTGTACCTATTCTTTGTTTCAATACATTTTGTTAACGTACATTTTGTGTTGTATTATTCCATGCTTATTTAAGCTTCAACAGTAATGTTTGTTAACTCCCCATCCCTGCCCTACCATTCATGTGCATAAACTTGTTAGCTAGGTTATTTACTGTTTCCTGCTGCTCCTCTTTCCTTCATTGTGCCCAGTGGGTGTTAATTTCTCCAAGCACTCTTTCCTCATTATATGTCATAAAAATTTCAGCTGTCTCTTTGTGATTCTAAGTACAAGTGTCCTTTTTGTTTGAATTTCCTTAAAATCTCTTTGTTTGCTCACATGTTCTATCCATGGTAGTCTCTGCCTCCTTCAGTTGAACTGCATCACTGTTATCTTAAGTTTACTCTTCATCTGTGAAGAAATCATCCAGCATTCACGACTCAGTTTATTTACTGATTCCTGCTGCTCCTCTTGCCTTCAATATGCCCAGTGGGTGTTAATTTCTCCAAGCCCTCTTTCCTCATTATCATCATCATCTTGCTCGCCTCAGCTGAGATTGAACTCACTACACCTCTCCAGTATTCCCTATCTGTCATAGCACCTAAAAGATCTTCCTTAGGGATCAATGTGTTTCGTTTTATCCTATCTGGAAAGGTTAACTTGCGTGATCGATTGTCAGATGATGGGTGCCTCCAGAGTACAAATGATGACACAAGTTCATCTGTGGCATGTGCACAATGCCCAGCGACCTGGACACGTCTCTTGCAAACTGAGGTTGATCCTCATTATAGGAGGATTGATATTACATCAAAGTTCAGCATTCTTCTATTTCTAACAAAATTTAGCTGCCTCATTATATTTTTCCGGCTTCTGGAAGACAGCCTTCACTATTCAAATGTATCTTTTGATTTCAACATCACATTTACTGTTTTCTGTTACGACTGTATCCAAGTCTTGGGTATGACAATAAACTACATCTGGCAGTAAGGCTTCTGATTGGGAGATTGGAGGTTATGAGGAGTATGGAATCACCTCTTAATTGTTGTTGTTTCCAGGTCCACCCTGACGTCGGGTGGTAGCACCTGTTAGGGTCCCATCTATGGGCAAATAGTGAACACCCCCAAACAAAAACAAAACATGATGAAAGTATAAAAATACAAGCAATATGTTTTTATAATAAAAATACCACCAAGTGATGTGAAATTGGAGTTTTTGAGGAGGTTGGAACCACCTCTTAATTGAGGTTGTTCCCAAGTCCACCCTGTTGAGGAGTGTGGAACCACAACTTAATTGCTGTTGTTCCCAAGTCCACCCTGTTGAGGAGTGTGGAAGCACAACTTAATTGCTGTTGTTCCCAAGTCCACCCTGTTTGAGGATTGTGGAACCATATCTTAATTGCTGTTGTTCTCGGGTAGCACCTATTAAAGTCATAGCTATGGTCAAAATGTGAAGCCCAAAACAAAAACAAAACCCTATGAAAGTATGGAAATACATTTTTATAGTAAAAATACCAGCAATACATTTTTATATAGTAAAATTACCAACAATACCTATTTATAGCAAAATGACCAGCAATATCTGTAATTGAAGGCATACATTTGCATTCAAAATATATTTAGTTGAAGCCATAAAATTGTGTTCAAAATATTTAGATTTCAGCATTAAATAACCAATAGAAATGTTGATATACTGTTAACCCAAACCAACCAACCAAGCTGCCGATGACTCTACCCAGATAGTTAAACTTCTGTACCTGCTTGATTCTCATACCTCTCTTTTTGTGTCCTTCAGTTTGAGACTCTGACATTTATATTTTGAACTATTTATTTTTTACTGTACTTGATTTAAGTAGTATGTTAATTAAATAATATGTTAATTAGTCTAAGAACAGCTTAAAAAAATACTTCTTTAAAAAAGGAGTTGATTGTTTTTATTAACTTTTATGGTCCAGCTATAACTGACCTTTAAATTGTTTAGTAAAAACAATCAAAGGCGAGTTTGTAAAGTATTTATTAATTAATTTCAAGAACATTCTCTCCATGTCATTTTTGATGTCAGCATTATAATGGGGGGGGGGTTGAACTAAATCATTTTTTTTTTTTTTTTTTTTTGTTGCTTTTATTCTTTCTATTAGTATTTTCATCACACAGAAGCTTAAAATAAACTAAAAAGGTTAAAATATCAAACAAACCGAGTGCTCACTGTCATCTGGCAGTGCTCACTGTCATCTGGCAGTGCTCACTGTCATCTGGCAGTGCTCACTGTCATCTGGCAGTGAGCACTGTCATCTGGCAGTGCTCACTGTCATCTGGCAGTGCTCACTGTCATCTGGCAGTGAGCACTGTCATCTGGCAGTGAGCACTGTCATCTGGCAGTGCTCACTGTCATCTGGCAGTGCTCACTGTCATCTGGCAGTGAGCACTGTCATTTGGCAGTGAGCACTGTCATCTGGCAGTGAACACTGTCATCTGGCAGTGCTGTAATAAGGCAGTTCAATGAGGAAATTCAATAAGGTCAGGAAATCTTTTGGGCAAATCCTGTCACAAGTAAACTTTAATGACTCAGAAATAGTGTACTTCTTGAAAGAGGCCATAAGAACAGAAGAGATGACAGGTGCCTACCCCACAGACGTACACATGGAGATACATGTCAAGTTAACATTGTTTGTGATAGTCTTAGGAATGTTGAGCAGTGAAAACCATATCTGACTTCTCATGCATTTTCCTATAGAGTTTCAAAGTTAATGTTGTTATCTTCAATGCAGATTGAAGTTTGCCAGTGGGGAATGAGATATGTTTCAATGCAACATGAGGGTCCCTCAGTGGGGTATAAGACATGTTTTTATCTATAAGTCATCCTATGGGTCAAGAGAAAAGAAAAGAGAATGGAACTTTGAATTCTTTTTCTCATATAACACTTAGTCAACACCATATAGCAGTCATTAGCAGAAATTCTTTGTCAAAATAGAGTGTATATATATATATATATATATATATGTATATATATATATATATATTAAGAAATGGACAAAGTCCGACAATTTATTTTATTAAAGACATTTTTATGTTTAACGTTCTTTTTTATAGATACAAGTATTTAAGTAAATGCTCTTTTTATAATAAACAGTATTAAATAACATTTACCGGCCTGAATATTTTCTATGAAAATTTCTCAGACATTCAGGCCGGTAAATGTTATTTAATACTGTTTATTATAAACAGAGCATCTACTTAAATACTTGTATCTATAAAAAAGAATGTTAAACATAAAAATGTCTTTAATAAAATATATATATATATATATATATATATATATATTGTTAAAGTTTACTATATTTTTAAGGGAAGTGAGCTCAATAAGAAAAGTATAAACTTTCAAATAAATAATATACACATAAATAAGTAATCTGGAATTTTTTCATAAGTCTATATCTTTGAAATGAGGTATTATGATTATTTACATTATTTGGAATGTTATCATCTTCATTGCCATATTCACAATGTTTCAGCCATTGTATGCTCTGGCCTTCTTCAGATGATTGGAATTTTGAACTGAACCTTTTATTTCATCCATTGGGATAGATTGTTCTAGTTCCACATGCTGTGCCTCTTCTGGATGTCTCAGTTATTTCCCTTTAACTCACTTATACAAATACATTGGGGTGAGTACCTCACACCAGAACAAGTCCAAAAGTCCATGTAAACATATGCCTGCAAATCCTTCATTTTTGAGTTTAAAGAAAGTTTGTGGTAGATGGCACTGCATTGTCATGTCGACTATGTTACATTTGTCATTCATGTTCATTTGTGGTTAGTCTGTCTTCAACATTTAAATTCTGTAGTTGTGAGTTAACTGAGAAGTGTTCCATTTAACAATACCAGGATATTCATAGTTTGTAAAAGTATTTTTGGATTATATCTTAGAGTAGCAGCATGGCCCGGCATTGCCCGTGCTTGATTCAAAAATCGTACGACTCATACAGCAATCGCTATCACTTGACTTAAAATATTTTTGCTCTTCCTTGCCTTTAAATGAGTGCCCTTTGCCATGCTGATGTTGCTACATGCCTTACTTCTTGCCTATCTCACACTGCAAATTTTTTCTAAGCTCTATACTAAACATTAAATCTGTTATGAAAAAAGAACTAAACAAAATGAACACAAAACAATAAGCTTTAAAAAAGGACTCGTAACTGGAAAAAACGAATGAAAAAAGAATGTTAACAACAAATACTTTTTCACATCCAACCCAGTTCTGCGGAATCAGAATCAACGTTGAGTTTAAGCAAGCGAATGAGCCAATTGGAGTAAAGTGCCATGCAGATTTAAATTTTTCCCACTTGTGACGAATGGAGCTATTGATGTTTTTTGCATGCTAGCATGCTAGTTAACATTCATGTCAGTCAGCTGTTGGCTCTCATGCTGGCCAATAGAATCTTCCTGCCTATTCATGGAAGCCAGCTATTGGCTCTCACTCTGGCCAGTACAAAATGGCGGCAAACTACATGTAAAGTGCCATAGAAGCATGAAAAAATCGATTTTTTCCACAATCGATGGGAGTTGGGAAATGCAAAGTCAGTCTTGGCCTTCCCACTAACTTGGAGTATGTGCATGTAAATTTTGGTGCAAATCCGTCAAAAATTGCAGCCGTGCATTTGTTACACACACAAACACACACACACATCCTGCCTTTTATAGATAGAGATTATAGATTTAACAGTGTCTACTGTAAACTTTAAACTTAATAACTCAAAAATGAAGGATTATTTTTATATAGACTTTTGTCCTTGCTTTGCTGTGAGGAACCTGCCTCCAAAGTTTGTAAAAGTATTTTTGATACACCCTGTCTATATCCTTAAATAGAATAGACCACAACAACAAACATATATATATATATATATATATATATATATATATATATGAAGAAATTTTGAAAAAACAAACAAAAATCCTTAAATGTAGTTAAAATGAAAAAAATGTGGGCGTCTGACGTTTAGGTTTAATAAACCTTTTTCAAGACAATATTCATCAAATACAATTCAGTTCAATATGACAAAAACGATGGACATAAAACACAAGTCTTATTCAGAACAGATAACTGAAAATTTTTAAAATGATCAGCCTTCCGTTAACATAAAATCGTCACATGGGCCACGCTTTCAACGTAGAAAAAGTTTGTGATTATTTTGAAATGAAAAAAGAAAAATGAAAAGAATCCTATTAGGTTCTAAAATTCTTATGTGTATGCTTTAGTTGTGTTTAGTTGCATCGGATGTAATATATTTGTCTGCTGGTGCTATTTAATAAACATTAAATAGCACCAGCAGACAATATTACATCCGATGCTTGCATCTATCAAATATCATGCAAAAATTGTGACCTAAAATATGTGGGTGAAACAGGTAGGTCCTTAAAATCTCGTGTTTTTCGAACATAAACGAGATATTCGTCTCGTAATTTTAACAATGCTTTAGTTGTACACACAACTAAAAAGCAGATCATAATTCGATTTCGATTCCGTGAAAGTATTAAAATATTTTCATAATAAAAATCTCAGGAGGATTTATGAAGCAGGTATAATATCCATCTCACGCACGGTGAATACTAGACCTGGTTTCTTTAATATTTCCCCTTTTTTTAGCGAGATTGATGCTCGACAAGCATACACATAAGAATTTTAGAACCTAATAGAATTCTTTTCATTTTCTTTTTCATTTCAAAATAATCACAAACTTTTAGGAATACGTTATGAAAGCGTCGCCCATGTGACGACGGCGTGACCATGTTAGACGGAAGGCTGATCATTTTAAAAATTTTCAGTTATCTGTTCTGAATAAGACTTGTGTTTTTATGTCCATCGTATTTGTCATATTGAACTGAATTGTATTTTGATGAATATTGTCTTGAAAAAGGTTTATTAAACCGAAACGTCAGACGTCGACATTTCTTTCATTTTAACTACATTTAAGGATTTTTTTTTTTTTTTTTCAAAATTTCTTCATTCTGTCGGATTTATATCCATTTACACTTGCTATATATATATATATATATATATATATATATATATATATATATATATATATGTTTTTTTTATGTGTAACAATTGAGGGGCAGTGTGCAAAATTTTGACATGAGACACACAGAAGTCATGACCCCATTCATGTCCACATAAAAAAACTACCATACTGACAAACTACAAAGCAAACCCTTTCTGTCCCTCTCTCAGCTAACTATGAGCTGTCTTCACTCAAGTTGCTGAGGGAGGGAAGAAGCTGTTTCAGATATCTCTCACTACTACTAAGAATATACTAACCCACCCACCCAAACTCAAGTTATATTTGTTTTTGAAAAAAAAAAAAAAAGAAACATATAACAACATTTCACTGTTTCTCACATATGTATATAAATTGTTTATTTGTTGATACTACTTTATTTTTTCTACTAGATTTTATTCTTTCTAAAGCGTTGAATTACGAGCAGTCCCACAAAAATATTTTATGCTATTGTATTGAATTCTGATACTCTGAATTTTGATATTTAACAAAAAACAAAAACCCAAGTGGAAGAATTGACAGCTTTATATTGCTTTGAGTAGGATGAAAAATAAGCAGACTCTGAAATTACAGATTGAATCTATGGACTGTCAAGGATTACACAGACCTTTCAAAGTTTACACAAAATATATTGTGCTTTGGGAAATTTTGCAGTAAAAAAAAAATTTGGTTGTAAATATGTAACATTTATGAGGATAAAATACAGATATCTTTCCTTAGGTGTTTATAGATTGTACATTGTTCAATTATTAATGTTAACAACAAACTATTTTAAATTATAAAATTGTACTTGGATTAAACGAAAATTACTTACAATATAATACATATTACTTATAATACATCCCTTCTTGTCATCAATTTTGATTGCACAGGTACACCCCCCCACACACACATATATATTTAGTTGAATTGATGTGAGTTTGTTGTAGAAAAATCACGTGGTTGAGATAAACACTCAGTTGTGGAGCAAGCTAAGTGAATATTAGCTTGGGAGCTTGACATATTTGTCATCTTGGTAAAGACATCCCAGTCAATTTGGAACTTCCTGAATTGCTGTGGTGTCATCTCGAGATTGAGATGGGGAGGTTTGCCTGCTAGTGCCTGAATGTGGGTTGTCTGGGTGGTGGCCTCCTTAGCCTGCTTGATGATACACAGGGCTTTTCCCATTAATGTGACTCCAAGCTCCTTAAGCATGGATTGATCCAGCATTTGAAGGCTCTCGATTGTCAGCTTCTCGTCTGCAAACCTTGTTGCATGAGTTTTGGCCGAGTCAGTGGATAGGCCTGCTTCAATGAAGAAGAGTTCCCAATCTTCGGGTGTCATATATCCTGTTCGCAGCGCCATGTAGAAAAATCACTATTATTATTATTATTGTTATTCTACATTTGTGACCCTGGGTTTCACACTATTTGTGATCGTCAGACAATTGACTTTAGTAGAATTTGTCTGATGACCGCAAATAGCATGAAACCCAGGGTCACAAACTCACATCAATCCAACTAAATATGTTAGATCTATCACTGATATTGAGTGCTTTCCAATAAGTACTGTGCATATATAAATAATATATATATATATAAAATTGCATATATATATATATATATATATATATATATATATGGATATTTATAATTATATAAGTTATACAAGTTTGATTAAAGACCAACAAAAATTCTTCCTTAAGGCATTGAATTTTAGATAAGACATTCATGACTGAAGAAAATTGGGTGAACTTGGCAATGGATAATCAAAAAAAAAAAAAATTTGAAATGTTTGCTTATTAATTTGGCTTTTTGAAAACTGCATTTTCCTATCTTTTCAGTGATTATTTATGGAACAAGAAAACCAATGATTGGTATAAAGAAGGTGAGATTATCAAGAATCCTCGTTTGGCCAAAACTCTGCAGATCATCGCTGACAAAGGTGCCGATGAGTTTTACACTGGAGACCTTGCCAAAGACATTGTTGCTGATATTCAAGATGCAGGTTTGTTTTGGTACTCTTTTAAAAATGATTATAGGAAGATATGAAATAATTTTTAACCATTTATATAAAATATAATCAATGAAATTCAATTTGGTTTATGAATATACTAGGTTGGCCAGAAAGTCTTGACTCACTTAGCAAGCAAAAAAAAAAACAAATTTTGATGATTTCTGTCTAGTGGAATTTCCAAGGAGTATTGCATTTTGAGCTTGTTGCACATGATCATGCCATCAATGCTAAACTATATTGCCAGCACTTAGACCACATGTATGACAAGCTAAAGGAGTATCCTACTTTGGTCAATGGAAGTCAGGCTTTGTTTCAGTAAAACAATGTGAGGCTGCATACTGGCAGGTTGACTAAGGAGAAGTTCAAACAGATAGGCAGTGTTGAGACTCTTCCACATCCACCATTCAGTCCCAATGCTGCTCTGAGTAACTATGGCCTATTTCGCTCAATGGCACATTTCCTCTGCCACTAGTGATTCAACACTTTTGATGAAGTGAAGGAAACATGTTTACAGTTTTTTGATTCAAAACGAGCAGACTGGTATCTGGAACAGATTAGGATGCTGACTGATTGCTGGCAGAAGGTCGTTAAGAATGATGGACTTTATTTTGAAGAATAAATGTTGGCATTGCTCCATAAAGTTTTGTTGTTTTCTTTCTGCTTCTGAAATGAGTCAGGACTTTCTGGCCAACCTGATACTTTATACATAAGCGTCAAACAGAATAAAGAAAATGTACAACTGTCTTAGTGCTTCAATGATTCTCTTTTAGCTAACCCTATTTTTATAATGAGGCCTTCTGATCTATTTTACACAGATCACCTTCATTCCCTTCATATTCCACTTGAATGGCTTCTTCACACCTTGGTTGGTTGGTTGGATTTTATGGCATATCAACCACTGTAGATCATTTAATGCCAAATTTAGTTAGATATACACACACACACACACACACACAGATATATAGATATTGATAATATTGGTGGTTAATATACATATACATATGCAACCATATATCTAAACTATATAAATATATATACATACATATACATACATACATACATACATATATATATATATATATATATATATATATATATATATATATATATATATATATATAGTTAAATTCCCAGATGAATTCTGTGGACAAGACAGATTGGTATCAAATGACAATTGGAAAAAATCATACATCATCTGGGAATTTAACTATATTATATCATACATGGAAAAAAAAAAAAAAAAATAATAATCCCTTACTATAAAGGTAATTTACATTAACCAGAAAAAAAGGCTTAGACACAAGCGTCTATCTTTTTAATTTTGAATTTTAATGTAACTATAACAAAAAAAAACATTTTGATTTCATTTTTGCCTTGAGAAAAAAGTCGGAAGATCAAAATTATCGGCAAAATGTATGATTTTTTCCAATTGTCATATATATATATATATATATATATATATATATATATATATATATATATATATGTGTGTATAAAAATAATTCCAAGAAGATAGAATCCAGGTAGAACTCAATGTCTAGGACAGAGTAAAGGATATAAAAAAAGGCTTAAACACTGGAATATTAAACCATGGAATATTAGTGTTTAAGCCTTTTTATTATATTCTATTATATATATATATATATATATATATATATATATAGTGGGGGGAAATAAATATTCGTACACTTGAAAAATTGTATTTTTATGAATGTAAAAGCCTTAAATAAAACAAATCTTGGCATATTTTATGTATAAAGACACATACTATTAAAAAATAATAATAAACTTAATTCTTATTCTAACAGAAATTAATGCATTTTTTTAATTCTAACTGGTGAAAAAAGTATTCATACAAATCAATTATTAGAATAAAATAATCAATTAATTATGAAAAAAGTATATTCTAGAATGTTCCAGTAATGTTATCAGTAATTATAGTTAACGCTATTAGCCATTATCAGAGCATTCTGCAATTTCTAGTCTTACAAGAAGGTTCTAATAATGCCTAAAGGTAAAGAATTGACTATTTCACAAAAACAACACATTTTGTCTCTTTGGAAAGATAGGAACAGTTACAGAACGATTTCTGAATATTCCTTTTACTGCAATTGCTTCGTTCATTGCAAGATTTAAAACTCGTAACATCATCGAAAACCAAAAATGAACATGTGCTCCGAGGAAGATTTCTCTAAGATCAGCAAGGATATTAGAACACCAGATCCAACAAAATCCACAGGTTACCTGAGAAGAGCTGCAGGAACATCTGCATGCATTAGGGATTAAAGTAATCAAGCGTACAAGTAATGAACTACACAAAAACAGTCTGAAATCATGCATCCCAAGGAAGACTCCACTCCTCTTGAAATGACACAGAGATGCTAGGCTAAAATTCCTTAGAGAGCATAAGGATAAAGAATATTCGTTTTGGGAAAAAGTACTATGGACAGATGAAACTAAAATAGAGTTGTTTGATCATAATTATCGAAATCATGTGTGGAGGAAGAACGGTGAAGCCTACTTACCACAGAACACGTTGCCAACTGTAAAGTTTGGTGGTGGCAGTATCATGATCTGGGGCTGTTTTTCTGCAAAAGGTGTTGGCAGAATATCAGTAATAGATGGCAAGATGAATGTCGAAAGATACCAGAAAATCCTGCAAGACAATTTAATGAGTTCTGTTGAGAGACTTTGGCTACCTTCTGATTGGGTTTTCCAACTGGATAATGATCCTAAGCATACCGCTAGATCTACAAGGAAATGGTTAGCTGAAAGTAATGTTGATGTCTTGCAGTGGCCAAGTCAGTACCCAGAGTTAAACCCAATTGAGAATTTATGGCGATATTTGAAAATTCAAATTGGGAAAAGAGCACCAACAAATATCAAGAATTTGAAGACAATATGCCAAGAAGAATGGGACAAAATACCACTCAATGTGTGCAAATCATTAGTTGAGACGTACAGGAATAGACTGGTAGCTGTTGAACTCAATAATGGATATTCCACAAAGTATTAAATTAAGTTAATATGCTTTTTTTGTTTTGTACGAATATTTTTTTCATCAGTTAAAATGAAAGAATGCATTAATTAAGTTTATTACTATTTTTTAATAAAATGTATCTTTACACATAAAATGTATCAAAATTTGTTTTAGTTAAGGCTTTTACATTTATAAAAATACAATTTTTCATGTGTACGAATATTTATTTCCCGCCACTGTATATTAAATATATAGTACTATTAAACATATAGCTGGCAACATTATTCTTTCAAAAACGTATAGCTGGCAACATTATTTTTTCAAAAATATATTATCAGAGGCCTTGCTGTTGGACGTAGTTTATCGCCATACCCAGGATGCGGATGTAGTTTATCATCTTACTCAGGACGTGGATGTAGTTTATCGCCATACCCAGAACGTGGGTAAGGTCTGGAAAAAACTGGGAGTTCACTATTTTCCCATAGCTGGGACCCTGAGAGGTTCTACCACCCCGGGTCAGGGTGAACCTGGGAACATCAGCAATTAAGAGGTGGTTCCACACTCCTCAAAACCTCAAAATGGAAATGGAGTACTGCTGCTATATATGGGCATGAGCTGCCCAGTCTTCACTTTCCAGTCTCAATAGAGTCCAAAAGTGTCTCTGCTATCCTCTGCCTTTACAAGAGCCAGATCAGGCTGAAAATGGCGTACTGCTGCCATATATGGGCAGGAGCTGTCTTGTCTTCACTTTCCAGTTTCGAAAGCATCTTGTGGGTGATAAATTATATCCATCCTACAATTCCTTTCACCCAGATGAAATGTGGCAAGTCACTTGCTAGTCCCATGGAAAGTGTTCAGACAAACTACATTTCTTAGTCACCAGCAATTCTAACCTTCACAGCTAAGACCCACCATGCCACAGACATTATAACAAACTAAAATATAACCAATGAAACGCAATCAAATTACAAATATATTTTATTCGTAAGCACTAAACAGGTTACAAATATATTTTATATGCAGACCCACCTTGCCACACCCATTGTAACAAACTGTAAAATATAACCAATGAAACTCAATCAGGTTATGAATATATTTTATTCATAAGCACTAGACAGAAGTAAAAAAAATGTACAACTATCTCAGTGCTTCCAGGGATCTCTTTCATAATGTTCATGCTGTAACCAGGGCTTCTGGTTGAGTGTGGTGATATCCTTTTAAGTACCCTGTTTTTATAATGAGGTTTGCTCATGGTTAAGATCGGGGAAAACATAAACTGTTATCTTTCACACTTATACACACAAGTGGCCTCCTAATTTAACTGTCTACCTCGAGTGGCCCACGGTCCTTGTAAAGGATGAAATTTACTGTAATACACACACACACACACACACACACATATAGTGGGTGTGCCTGCCGTAGCGTGTTTGTTAACAAGGACCTTTCACAAACACTTCCGTTAGTATAATATTCACGCCTCGAACACCAGTATTTTGTTCATGCCTGGCTAAAGTAAGCTTATATAAAAGTATATATATATATATATATATATATATATATATATATATATATATATACACGTTTATTTACATACCTGTTTTTGTGTCCGTTTGAGTTGTGCATTATGTTTGTGCATTTGGGTGTTTTCGTATTGTTTTATTGTATGCAAGTGTAAAAGGATGCAAATTTAATTTCTCCATCGACTAATCATTGTGGACTGTGAAAAAAATGGCACACCCTGTTTAAAAATAGCTGAGAGTGTAAAATTCCGATAATAAATGGAGACGGTCAATAGAAATGAAATTCAGGAAGAATGCTCTGAAGAGATTGAGGCAGTAAACATAATCGAACTTATTAACGAAGAAAAGAAAGAAAAGAAAGAAAGAAACTGGAATGGACTGATAGATATGAACAAAATGAGATAGATAATATTAATAGAATGAGATAGATATGAACAAAATGAGATAGATAGATAGATAGATAGATATGAACAGAATGAGATAGATAGATAGATAGATAGATAGATAGATAGATATGAACAGAATGAGATAGATAGATAGATAGATAGATAGATAGAATGAGATAGATATGAACAGAATGAGATAGATAGATAGATAGATATGAACAGAATGAGATAGATAGATAATATTAATAGAATGAGATAGATATGAACAGAATGAGATAAATAGATAGATAATATTAATAGAATGAGATAGACCCAGGTTGTTTGTATGTGTGTGTGTTCTTTATATATGGAATCGGATTTTCTACATTTTTCAACCAATTTCAACAAAACTTCACACTTTTTTTGGCAGGTAGTGTTTCTTATTGTCTTGCACACGTTTTTCTTTATTTTTACATTCAGAATGCTTTAAAAATTCCATTTACAAGACAATTGTTTATAATAAAATTCTATTCAATCGGTAGACTCATAACAATTGAAGACAATGTTTTTGTTTGAGTTTGAGTTTGACCAATTCGTAAAAAAAAAAAAAAAAAAAACTAATTAAAACATGCGTGTCCGTCAACCTTAAACAATAATCTTTGTCAATTTTATTTTTCAGTCTTTATGACGGTCGATACTTGATCTATCTCTTACTGTTACATCCCCGGGCAACACCGGGCTCTACTGCTAGTCAATGATATATAAATTTTTATATATCAGAACAATATTAGGCAAATTAATGCCAATAAACAGAAAAAATCTTTGTATAATGTTTTGTCATTTAGAACTACATTAAACTAAAGTAATATTTTTGTTCATGTAGTTATATATGTGTATGAAGGGGAGGGGGAATATAAAAACATAAACATTGGATATAATTATGCAGATACTAAAAATGGTGGAATATTGGTGTTTTAAACTTTTAATTAAAATTTTTGTTTCAAAGCAATTTCACACACTGTAAACTTGTTTAATATTCCTCTATAAATTAGGTGTTATTTGTTACACAAGACTTGAATTGCTTAATTTTGATTCTGACTTACCTAACTTCTATACCCATGACCTTGATTATATATCCTTCCTCCCTTCTTCTTCTATGTATCATGTCCCTTCAAGACATGTGTGACCATGGCTCTCCACAATTTCCTGTCCTTTGTAACTCTTAGTAAGTTTTGTCTTTTTGCTATCTTCCCTAAACCCTGTTCTGCCAAGCATTGAAATAAGCTTGTCCTTCTTCTTCTATGTATTGTGTCATTTCAGGACATGTGTGACCATGGCTCTCCACAATTTCCTGTCCTTTGTAACTCTTAGTAAATTTTGTCTTTTTGCTGTCTTCCTTAAAACCTGTTTTGCCAAGCATTGAAATAAACTTGTCTTTCTTCTTCTATGTATCATGTCCCTTCAAGACATGTGTGACCATGGCTCTCCACAATTTCCTGTCCTTTGTCACTCTTAGTAAATTTTGTCTTTTTGCTGTCTTCCCTAAAACCTGTTTTGCCAAGCATTGAAATAAACTTGTCTTTCTTCTTCTATGTATCATGTCCCTTCAAGACATGTGTGACCATGGCTCTCCACAATTTCCTGTCCTTTGTCACTCTTAGTAAATTTTGTCTTTTTGCTGTCTTCCCTAAACCCTGTTCTGCCAAGCATTTAAATAAGCTTGTCCTTCTTCTATCGTGTCATTTTGGGACATGTGTGATCATGGCTCTCCACAATTTCAAAGTGTGTGGAGGGGGGTGTCTATGTTTGCGCTCACTCCAATAAACAAGCCAAAAATGGATTTTTTCTTTCCATTTTTTTTTTTTTTCTAATCTTAAAAAATTCCTTGTAAGTGCCTCAAATATAATCCAGTATTCCATTACACCTTCAGATTTCAATATCGCATTTTCAGTCCTATGTGAAAACATTAACTTAAACTGCTGTACTTGTTAGATTTTGGTAACTCCAATCCACTATTTGAATGTTGAGCTGTTCATTTTGCTAATTTTGAATAGGAGTAGAGGTTTAGCCCTTATTTTCTGTATAGGATTGAGTTCCCATTTCCTTCTGAAATCTTCTCATTCTCTTTCACTTCCAGTAAACCCTTGTGGCTTAATGGCATTATTGCCTTGTTTGGGGTGAAACGATTAAAAAAGACAAAAAAACTGCAAACTGATATTACAAGTATCAATTCACAAGTTACTAAAACTTGTTACTCTGACTGTCCTGGGTATGACAATAAACTACATCAGCGTCCTGGGTATGATGATAAACTACGTCCAGCAGCAAGGCCTCTGATCAGGAGGTTTTGAGGAACGTGGAACCACCTCTTAATTGCTGGTATTCTTAGGTCCACCCAAACCCGGGGTGGTAGCACCTGTTAGGGTCCCAGCTATGGGCAAATAGTTAACCCCAAAACTGGGGTAAAAATAGGGTTTAATACCAGGAATACTTTGTAAAAAAAAAAAAATTATTACCAGCAATACATTTTTGAAAAAAAAAAAACATTACCAGCAATATGTTTTAAAAAAATATTACCAACTATATCTTTTTTGAAAAATAATTATTACTACCAATACATTTTTGAAGGAAAAAATTATTACCAGAAATAGATTTTTGACAAAACAAAATATTACCAGCAATAAAAACTTTGTCGGCATTAAATAATCCATTGAGGTTGATATGCTGTAAGACACAACAAACCAACAAACCAAAGAAGCCTGTAATCCCACATTAACCTAATGGAATTCTACCTTGAGTGGCTTTTGGACCTTATCAGGTGAACTGTCAGTAAAATAATAAAAACATTTTCATTGATTACTGCCTTCAATTAGTTTAAGTGAAAGCAGTATTTGTTAAACTCAATCAGTTGTTTCTCTGAAAGGAAATTGTTACTCTGAAGTACTTTTTTGTTTGTTTCTAATGAGATTTTCATGTTTCTTAATACTTTGCTTAGCTTTTGGAAGGCATCTCTTTTATCCACTTAGTTGTAAATTATGGTTGTTGGTTTGTCTGCAACAGGCCACCAGTGTCTTTTGTAAACAGAAGGTTTACGTTCTGAAACAGTTGAAAATAATCTGGAAAAAAAAAATTGTTCACTACTGTCTGAAGTGTCATTTATTTAAGACTAGCAGTAGAGCCTGGCATTGCTCGGGGATGTAACAGTAAGAGATAGATCAAGTATCGACCGTGATAAAGACTTAAAAATAAAATTGACAAAGATTATTGTTTAAGGTTGATGGACACGCATGTCTTAATTAGCTTTGTTTTTTGTTTTTTACGAATTGGTCAAACCCAAACTCAAACAAAAACATTGTTTTCAATCATTATGAGTCTATTGATTGAATAGAATTTTATTATAAACAATTGTCTTGTAAATGGAATTTTTAAAACATTCTGAATGTAAAAATAAAGAAAAAAGTGTGCAAGACAATAAGAAACACTACCTGCCAAAAAAAAGTGAAGTTTTGTTGAAATCGGTTGAAAAATTTAGGAAATCCAATCCCATATATAAAGAACACACACACACACAAACAACTTGGGTTTTATAATAAGTATAACTCGATATGAGTTGTCCCCCTTTCATTCTTGCGATGCCTCTTAATCGTGTTTTCAAATTAATTTTGAGCAAAAACAATTGTGTTTTACCAATTTTTGGCACTGTCAGAACCACCGCAAGGTAATTTTACGTAGTCCTGTGAAGTTTTGTTGAAATCGGTTGAAAAATGTAGGAAATCCGATGCAATATATAAACGTACAGACACACACACACACAACCTGGGTTTTATAATAAGTATGATGTTTTAGTTACCAAGTCCTGGTTATGATGATAAACTACATCTGGCAGCAAGGCCTCTGATCAGGAGATTGGAGGTTTTGAGGAGTGTGGAACCACCTTTTAACTGCTGTTGATCTCAGGTCCACTCTGACCTGGGGTGGTAGTATCTGTTATGGTCCCAACTATGGTCAAATAGTGAACCCCCCCCCCAAACAAAAACAAAGCACTATAAAAGTATAAAAATACATTATCTTAGTAAAAATATCAGCAATACATTTTAATATAAAAAAGGACCAACAATATATATTTATAGTAAAATTATTAGCAATATCTTTTATCTGTAGTTGAAGGCTTAAAATTGTGTTCAAAATATTTAGATTTCAGCATTAAATAAGCCATAGAGGTTGACCTGCAGCTAAACAAAATCAGCCAACCAAACAACCATCATGAAAGAACTTTTATTACATAAATATATATATAATACCCAACAATTTCTTAAATCAAACTGTATTCCAAAATTCAACAAAACAAAATAAAACATACATATCACCATCTCTAGTAATTATGTTTACACAAACATGCATATGCACAAAAGCTGAGTATCCTCTACCATGTATTCAATTGTGAAAGCAGAATAACATTATTATTGCTTCAAAGCTCCAATGAAAATTAAATTTTGGCATTAAATGACCCATAAGGAGTTGATATGTTGTTAAACAAACAAATCAGTCATTTAGTTACCAATTTGCTGCTTCTTACAGGTGGCAATATAACACTTGAGGACCTAAAGAATTACAGAGCCCGTGTGGAACCTGCTCTTAATATGCTGACAACAGATGGCTACAGGGCTTTCACAACTCCTCTCCCTTCTAGTGGAGCTGTTTATCTATACATGCTCAACATTCTTGAAGGTAAGTAAATCCTTAGTAAATATATGTATATATGCAGATGATACTGAAATGTATGGCTGCACCTCTAAATATCTTGATGACAAATGCCTAGAAGCTTATATCTCACCTAACTGAATTCTCACAGCTCAATGGGGAAAAGACTAGCTGGTATCATTCAATACATCCAAAATTAAACTGGAAACATTTTATCACCAGTGAGTGGAACCAAAACCTGCACCAATCCTGATGAGTGGTCATACCCTCAAAGAGGCTCCTGACCTTGAACACCTAATGGGTCTAAAGCTCTCTCCCAACCTCAAATGGAATGCGTATATTCTTGCAATCACAAAAGGTGCTAGAAAAATGGTTGGTTTCTTGAATCACTCCAGAAAATACCTGACTCCTGCCGCAATGCTCTATATAACAAGAACCAAATTAGACCAAGAATGGAGTAATACTGGTGCTTCCCAATCTTCACTGACAGACTTTAAAAGTGCTTACACAACCTTGTGGGTGATGAATTATTCTCCACCCTGCAACCCTTATCTTCACAGTTGAAATTGCCAGCCTCTCCCTACTCTATTACTATTACTATGGCAGATGTTCAGATGATGATTTTCTAAGCATAGCTTAGGTGTGGCACAAGGGTGAAAGTATGGGGCACCCAGTGAGGCAGATGTTCGGATGAGTGACATTCTTTAGTTCCACCAGCTCAGATCTTCACATCTTGGACCCACCATGCCATGTTTATGGTGAAAAACCATCTCTATTCTTTTTGTGTTCCTTTGATAAGGAAAAAGTTCCACTCAGACAGCATCTTCCCTAGAACTGTTACTTTGTAGAACAAACTCTATTTTAATCATTTCATACCAAACAAAGCAATAAACCTACTAAGACACATGAGATTACTGAGTGTGAAAGAATATTCATTATTAAGGAGTGAAAACAATAAAACAACAGAACTGAAGAAGAAAGAAGATAGCGATTGACATTGCATTTAAATTTTTGATGATCAAAGTTGAGTGGAAAGTAAGAAGCTGGAAAAGAGTTCCACAAGTGAGATGTTTGAGAGAAGCAATAAAACTACTAAAATACAAGGGATTATTGGGTGTGAAAGAATATTCATTTCAGGGAGTGAAAACAACAAAAGAACAGGACTGAAGAGGAAAGAAGATAATGATTGACATTGCATTTAAATTTTTGAAGATCAAAGTTGACTGCAAAGGAAGATGCCAGAAGAAAGTTTCACAAACTGTTAGCATAGAACTAACACTTACATCTAGCCATTTCAACTCTAAAATGATGAGACCTTACTGTCAATCCAGCACTGTGCTTAAATTTCTATAGCCAAAGTACCAAAGAGGAAAGTTCACCTTAACAATTACCATGAAATTATTTCTTGAAAAGGCACAGGAAATCTATGTTACGGCAGTGGGAAATTGACTGAATCCAAGATGCCAGGTGTTATGGACCTTACCCATAATAACATAATAAATACTGCGCCTCAAGAGGAACCAGGGAGTTCAGACTGAAGTCGGGTGACTGGCTGACCGGCTGATTGGTTGAACTCTCTGCCTTTGGGTGGGGAGGAACCTGAATGAGGCTACGCCAAACGGCGGAGTCTCTTTCGGGGAGGTAACCGACCCTGAACCTGTTTATACGGGTTCAAAGGGCATATTTTTGGCCGAGCCCACGGGCTCAGAGATCCCACATTAAACCAGCCTTGTGCCACGTGATGCCCTCGTGGGGGGGTGATTAAATACTGTTCAGTCTGAAGTCTGGAGTGATGTCCGTCAGAAGTCTGTCAGTCAGTCGAGTCAGAGGCAGTCCGAAACAGAGTCGCGTTCAGACAATTACTACTAAACTTGATTGTTCATACTAACACTTTCTACTTCTCTGTATATATTCCTGTTTGTAATATATCTGTGTTATTCCATATCTGTGTTTGAGTTCTTCTTTACTGGTTCTACCTTGGACTATCACCGTGGTACAAGGAACCGGACCATAACACCAGGTCAGGACCAATAACAATGCAGATTCTTCTTTGGATTTTATCAAGAATCTCTAAATATATAGCAGAAACACCAGATTTTATTTTTATATTTCAGGTTACAATATGTCCAAAGCTGATTTGAGAAACACAAAGGCCTCTGTGAAAACTTACCATAGACTTATTGAAGCTATGAAGTTTGCTTATGCTGTACGATCTTACATGGGAGATGATATGTTTTTGCCAAATATGACTCAGGTAAGAGTATTCTGTATTTACTTCCACTGATAGGGGGGTAACACTGCACGTCAGTATCACAGGGGCTGCATTATTTACATAGGGACTGAGAACCTCAAAGAATTATGCCTCATGTTCTATGCACTCTCTTCTTTTCTCAGTGCAGATTTCAGCATAATGAGTTAAAAAAAAATACTTATTGAAGGTACAGATAAACCTCACATCAATGGACTAATAGGGGGATGAGGTGGTCCTTTAAAGCTGATTGTCCGTAGGTGAGAAGGGATTATTTTTGAGTTATAAAACTGCTTTAGTAACTACCACTAGTTACAATCATAATGTAAATACTATAAACATGTATATATGGCATAAATAAATATATACTTAATATAGATATATTAATGAAAAAAACAAAAATAATAGGTTTATCACGGCTACTTTCTCAAGCATGTGCTAATGTATCATACTTTATATACTGTACACCCATTTTTGTTTACAATTCAAAGGCTAGTCACCGCCACCAAGTGGTCACTTTGAGAACTAATACAATTCGTTCCGATAAGCCTGCAAGTTTTGAAATACATCGCTAACGATTTGGAAGTTTTTTTCCTGCACATTTTTTTTTATTTTGCCTGTAGATTTTGTCTTTTGCATCTGAAGTCCATTGATTGTTGGGTGGGGTGGGGGTTAGTAGATAACAGGTTTTTCTGCAATCAGATTTCTTGAACTTGTGAATTGATACTTGTAATATCCGTCTGCATGTTTTTTTTGTAATCAATTCACCCTGAATAAGGCTATAATGCCACTAAGACGCAAGGGGTTATTAGGAGTGAAACAGAATGAGAAGACTTTATAGGTACCACCAAACATTTTTTTAAAAAGAGCATACCATGATGAAAAAAGGCTCTAAACTTGATAAAACAAAGTTTTATCATCAAAATATTTATGTTATTATTAAGAGGAAAGATCAAAGTATTTTTTGTTTATTTTATTAAATTTTTGAATTGTTTCTAGCATGCTTGAAATTTTGGTTAAAAATTTTGTTTTTCTTTGTTAATGACTGGGCCAAAGATTACTATGGGAAATTTAGTATCTGTTATATACCGTACTATGAACACTAATGGGTATGTCCCAATCGTCATAAATATGTTGGACACTATTGTAAGTGGGGGTAATATGCTGTCTAAGTAGTTCACCACTAGCAGTGGTTTACCTACTCCATGCCGCTGGCGAGTATTATATTTTGTTGATGTTATAAAGATTACCATTTACATTTCCAATCTCTGTTTTGGTTATTCCTCATTTAGTAACATTTTCTAGGTTACAACGGTATCTTTCTTGCAATAAAAAACATTGTTTTCAAGATTTTTGAAAAAATCAAATAATTCTCAGATTTTAATGAAATTTTCAGGGCTTATTCACAAATGAATGAAATTATTTTAAAAATTTTTTTTTAGAAAATCTTGGTAAAAATATTTTTTTTTTTTACATCTGTTACCACACTTATTTAATTTTATGAAATTCCGAGAAATTAAATTTTGATCTGCTTAACGTTTATATTAGTTACAAGCAGGAACCTTTGAAAAATTTAAATTATCAATTTGTTTTGTCAAACAGAAACACCATTTACTGAAAATCTGCTCAGTATTATAAAATAAAATTTTTTTATAGAACTAAGATGTTATTGAATTAGAAAAGCTTTTAATTGCTTTTATAAATAAAATATATTAAGGAAACTATTGTCTTAAAAAAAAAACATTTTTATGATGACTTTTAACAAGAATTGTTTTTGTTTTTTTTAAATTTTAATAAGAAAATGTTATTGAGTTTTAAATCTTTTAAAATTCTGTATTAATTTCAGCCTTTTAGATTATATTATTATTATTATTATTATTATTTGAAAACTATATTTACTAATCAACAATGGAAAAGCTTAATACATGTTCTCAAACATCAATATTTTAAATATCATTTTGAATTTTTTTATATCTACAATCATGTTGATTTTTGTATATACAGTTGGCATTATCAGAAAATAAGAGCGATAACTATATTAAATTTGAAGCCAAAATTTCTAAAATTCAGTAAAACATTATCTTGCAGAGAATAATTTCCTAAATTTTTAATTACTTAGTATTTAAAAATTATTTAAAAAAGGTGTTTACATAATTTTCCTCAATTATGTTTTACAACAGATAAAGTCTCCATAGAACAACATTAGTTTTCATCATGCTGTCAAACATGTCAACAAGACTACTCTCTGGTTAAAAACACTGCTACTGTTGGGTTAAAAAATGCATTTCTGCAATATTTTAAACTTAAAGTAAATAATATTTGATTCAAATAAGATCAGTTATACTTTAAATCAGCTAATATTTCAGAAAAGTAGATTTTTTTTTTGGAAGAGTTTTTACTAAGGGGATTATATTGTGATAAATGACAACTAAAAAAGGGTGCTAATCAGTTATTTTAACAAAAAATAAAAAATAAATTCTTTCCAGTCAATTTAAATTGGTTTTTGAAATACAGCAAAGTATTTTGCTTATTTCAATATTAAATTTAATCCATAAGCTTGAAACTAAAACTAAAATAAAAGCTTCAAGAAAAATTTTCCATTTATAAAAATTAATTTTAAACTTTAGGTATCACGTTTTTTTGTGGAGGTAACTACTTTAGAAGGAACTGGAAACCCAATCTTAAACAGGACACAAGGGCTAAATCTCTCTTCTTGTTTAAAGTTAACAAAATGAAGAGTCCAACATGTAAGTTACAAATTGGAGTTACCAAAATCAAACAAGTACATCAATTTAAGTATCTGGAAAGTGTTTTATTTTTATATTTCAACCTGCATAGTTGCAGAGCTAGGTCAAATTAGGTTTTTTTTAGTTGGCTTATCAAATATCAAGAATCAAATTTCCACTTAAAATTCAGCAAAACATACCTGAACCACCTATCATTGACCTACAGGTATATTAAATATCATAGATTGACTGAAGTAAAAGAAAATAGTAAATATGAATAAAAGATTATGATTAAATTTTTGTCAGATTAAAATAATTTTATTCAAGTTTTGGAATGATAATGATTTCTCTCAAAATTATAAAAAACAGAAAAATAACATATTGCCCAATAGATTTTGATATAATAAAAACAATGTATTCAAGTGTTGAATCAATAATTAGAATTATAGTCAATATAAAACATTTATTTTGTCAGTTTTTAAAAATTAAGTCAAATAAGCAACAAAATAAATGGAATGAATTTGTTGAAACTTTGTAGTCACATTAGTCACATAAAAACTAATATAAAGAATGATTTCAATAGTCTAAAAAACTCTTGGAATGATAATGACTCTTCTCAAAATGATAGAAGGTAGACATAGAATGGATTGACTGAAACATTGTGGTAACAACAAAAGCAATACAAAGAATGAGTTTAATAGTCTGAAGAACTCTTGGAATGATAATGACTCTTCTCAAAATGATAGAAGATAGACATAGAATGGATTGACTGAAACATTGTGGTAACAACAAAAGCAATACAAAGAATGAGTTCAATAGTCTGAAGAACTCTTGTAATAATAATGATTCTTCCAAAATTATAGAAATGAAAATTTAACTATTGTGATTTATGTCATATTTATTTTTGCAGCTTGTGCAGAATATAACTAACATTGAGAGTGGAATGCTAACTCGGAAAATGATTACTTATAAGACGCATAATTATAAGTATTATGGACCAGCTTTTACAATACCTGAGAAAACCGGTACATCCCATTTGTCAGTTTTGGCCCCCAATGGTGATGCTGTGGGTATTACGAGCACTATTAATCTATGGTAAGTATTAAAACACTGGTTGAACAAAGCTTATCTGATTTAATTTATCTCTATCTATAAAAGGCAGGATGTGTATGTGTGTGTATAACGAATACACGGCTGCAATTTTCAATGGATTTGCACCAAAATTTACATGCACATGCTCCAAGTTAGCGGGAAGGCCAAGACTGACTTTGCATTTCCCAACTCCCATTGATAGTGGAAATAATCAATTTTTTCAGCAGTTTTCATGTAGTTTGCGGCCATTTTGTACTGGCCAGAGTGAAAACCTATAGCTGGCTGCCACAAATAAGCAGGAAGATTCTATTGGCCAGCGTGAGAGCCAACAGCTGACTGACATGAATGTTAACTAGCATGCTAGCATGCAAAAAAAATCGATAGCTGCATTCGTCACAAGTGGGAAAAATTTAAATCTGCATGGCACTTTACTCCAATTGGCTCATTCGCTTGCTTAAACTCAACATTGATTCTGATTCCGCAGAACTGGGTTGGGTGTGAAAAAGTATTTGTTGTTAACATTCTTTTTTCATTCGTTTTTTTTTTTAGTTACGAGTCCTTTTTAAAGCTGATCGTTTTGTGTTCATTTTGTTTAGTTCTTTTTTCATAACAGATTTAATATTTAGTATAGAGCTTAGAAAAAATTTGCAGTGTGAGATAGGCAAGAAGTAAGGCATGTAGCAACATCAGCACGGCAAAGGGCAATCCTTTAAAGGCAAGAAAGGGCGAAAATATTTTAAGTCAAGTGATAGCGATTGCTGTATGAGTCGTACAATTTTTTAATCAAGCACGGGCAACGCCAGGCCATGCTGCTAGTGTTGACTAAAGTAAGTTTGTCATTGCTGATCTGATCTAATTTCTGTTGATGAAAGTAGTTTGACCATTATTGATTTGATGTAATTTATGTTGACTAAACACATTTATCATGGCTGATCCAATCTAATTGATTAAAAATCTTTGATCATCATCCACAAATATAGGTTTTTCAGTGAGGGCTGAGCTCACTGCTGAGTAGTAATAATCAAATAAACTAGTTCACTAAGTATTACCCCATAGAAAAATGCTATTACAACTGTAGTAAGTTTGCTTCACATTGGGTGGCCCATACTTGTAGTCTTGCACTGTACAAAGTTTAGTAAGTAATCTTGTCCTGTAGCAATGGTTAATAAGCTTGTCTTGCTGACCATGACTAATCTAATATGTTTAGTCTTCATATTCATATTTATGAGGGGGTGCTGAAAAGTTCTTGATCTGACCCGCTTTCTAAGATATAACCAAATGACTAAACATCAGAAATTTGTAGGGAAGGGCTTGATTTGTCTGAAAATACTTTTTTCTTTTTTTTTCTTTTCTTTTTTGCAATCACTCATATCTACCAGCCTTTAATAGATATGGTGATCTTCTAAACATGTGGCACAAAGTCAGAGGGATGGAGTACACAGTAAGAACTGAACTCACTATTCAGTTGTAATTGATTTAACGAGACAAGCTTGCTAACCATTACACTATGTCGAAGTGTCCAAATGATTTTCTAAATGTAGCTTAGATGTGGCACAAGGCCAAAAGTGTAGAGCACTCAGTGAAGATCAAACTCACTACTCAGTCATAATTGCTCTAGCAAAACAAGCTTACTAACCATTAAACCATGTCAAGGTGCCCAAAATTGATTTTCTAAGCATGGCTTAGCTGTGGCACAAGGCTGAAAGTGTGGAGCACCCAGTGAGGATCAAACTCAATCCTCAGTTGTAATTGATCTTGCAAGACAAGCTTTGTAACTATTACACTATGTTGAGGTATCCAAATCATTTTCTAAGTGTAGCTTAGATGTGGCACAAGGTCACAAGTATGAAGCACCCAATAAGAATCAAACTCAATACTCAGTCGTAATCGATCTAGTGAGACAAGCTTGTTAAATATTACACCATAGTGAATTGCCTAAAGGGGCAATTTTTAGCAAGCATAGGTAGGTTACTAGCTGTTTCCTCTTGCTTTCAGTGTGACCTGTGAGTATTAAAATCTATATGGCCTCTCTCTTCATTATGTGTCCAAGAAATCTTTTCAGTTTCCTTTTTTGCCTTAAAACTTCCTTGTTGATCACATGTTTTGTCCATGGTATTCTCATGTTGCTACAAGTCTCTTCTACATCTTTGAGGAAATTGTCCTATATTCATTGCTGTATAGGCAATTAGATATTACATAGCTTTCTAAGGGCTTTTGTCAGTAGAGCTACATCTATTTTCTTCAAGTCTGTTCTCCATCACTGGGGAAAGTTTTTCACATTCACTACCATATTAGATACTAGCAGTAGAGCCCGGCGTTGCCCAGGGATGTATCAGTAAAAGATAGATCAAGTATCGACCATCATAAAGACTGAAAAATAAAATTGACAAAGATTATTGTTTAAGGTTGACGGACACGCATGTCTTAATTAGTTTATTTTTTTTTTTTTTTTTTTTTACGAATTGGTCAAACCCAAACTCAAACAAAAACATTGTTTTCAATCGTTGAGTCTACCGATTGAATAGAATTTTATTATAAACAATTGTCTTGTAAATGGAATTTTTAAAGCATTCTGAATGTAAAAATAAAGAAAAAAGTGTGCAAAACAATAAGAAACACTACCTGCCAAAAAAAAAAGTGAAGTTTTGTTGAAATCGGTTGATATAAACGAACACACACACACACACACACAAACAACCTGGGTTTTATAATTTGTATAACCCGATATGAGTTGTCTCCCCTTTTATGCCTTTTAATCGTGTTTTCAAATTGATTTTGTGCAAAAACAATTATGTTTTTCCAATTTTTGGTACTGTCAGAACCACCGCAAGGTAATTTTATGTAGTCCTGTGAAGTGTTGTTGAAATCAGTTGAAAAATGTAGGAAATCCAATCCAATATATAAATGTACAGACACACACACACACACACAACCTGGGTTTTATAATAAGTATGATTATGTAGCAGTTCAGCACTCTTTTGGTTATAACTGAGCTAGCAAAAATAACAGTAAATAACCAGAATTGGTTTAACAACAGGTTTATTACATTTTGGTACAGGGAAACATAATGTAGAATAGAAACTAGGGGAGAGAATGTTTTGCTGTGAATCACCATTTTCAGTAAAAGCTACTGATGCTACTGGTACTCCTCTTATTTGTATGTCTTTCGTCTGATGGTCATGGAAATATTCTCCCTCACAATACTTGCCTTTATTTCTAATAAAATTTTCCTGACACTAAATACTTTGCTTAGTTTATGGAAGATATTATTTGCTATCCCTATGCACTTAATAGTGTGCATGAATTCTGAAAGTTTCAAATAAAGAACGTCTGTTTTCATGTTTATGTAAAGATTATCATGTGTACAAATTATGGTATTGTGATGACTGTAAAATAACCACAATGGCAATGGTAGTAGTAATTACAACCACTTTATTCTTGTATCAATGAGATACAAATACAAAAATACACTCAGCTTTTTATATAAGACTAGAAGAGGTAACTTACGTCTTCCAGTGTCTGCCTGTGGATGTCCCCCATTATCTAATGAGACCTTCCATTTCTACTCTACCTGTCACTTCCATTCTCTGACCACAGGACAGATTAACAGGGTCAGTTTTAGATTTGCTCCAGAAAATGTGTGCAATGGTCTTTGCATTTGTGGGGATAGAGTTCAAGGTGCTGACATGTTTCGACAGGAACATGGGCTGGTGTCGCCATGGTCAGTTTATGGTTTGCTCCAGAAAATGTGTGCAATTGTCCTCACATTTGTGGGGATAGGGTTCAAGGTGCTGACATGTTTCAACATGAACATGGGCTGGTGTCGCCATGGTCAGTTTATGGTTTGCTCCAGAAAATGTGTTCAATTGTCCTCACATTTGTGGGGATAGAGTTCAAGGTGCTGACATGTTTCAACATGAACATGAGCTGGTGTCGCCATGGCCAGTTTATGGTTTGCTCCAGAAAATGTGTGCAATTGTCCTCACATTTGTGGGGATAGGGTTCAAGGTGCTGACATGTTTCAACATGAACATGGGCTGGTGTCTGGTGCCATGGTCAGTTTATGGTTTGCTCCAGAAAATGTGTGCAATTGTCCTCCCATTTGTGGGGATAGGGTTCAAGGTGCTGACATGTTTCAACATGAACATGGGCTGGTGTCGACATGGTCAGTTTATGGTTTGCTCCAGAAAATGTGTGCAATTGTCCTCACATTTGTGGGGATAGGGTTCAAGGTGCTGACATGTTTCAACATGAACATGGGCTGGTGTCGCCATGGTCAGTTTATGGTTTGCTCCAGAAAATGTGTGCAATTGTCCTCACATTTGTGGGGATAGGGTTCAAGGTGCTGACATGTTTCAACATGAACATGGGCTGGTGCGCCATGGTCAGTTTCTCCAGAAAAATGGTCAATTGTCCTCACATTTTGGGGATGGTTTGCTCCAGAAAATGTGCAATTGTCCTCACATTTTGTGGGGGATAGGGTTCAAGGTGCTGACATGTTTCAACATGAACATGGGCTGGTGTCGCCATGGTCAGTTTATGGTTTGCTCCAGAAAATGTGTGCAATTGTCCTCACATTTGTGGGGATAGGGTTCAAGGTGCTGACATGTTTCAACATGAACATGGGCTGGTGTCGCCATGGTCAGTTTATGGTTTGCTCCAGAAAATGTGTGCAATTGTCCTCACATTTTGTGGGGATATGGGGGTTCAAGGTGCTGACATGTTTCAACATGAACATGGGCTGGTGTGTTTCCATGGGGGTTTATGGTTTGCTCCAGAAAATGTGTGCAATTGTCCTCACATTTGTGGGGATAGGGTTCAAGGTGCTGACATGTTTCAACATGAACATGGGCTGGTGTCGCCATGGTCAGTTTATGGTTTGCTCCAGAAAATGTGTGCAATTGTCCTCACAACATTTGTGGGGATAGGGTTCAGAAAAGGTGCTGACATGTTTCAACATGAACATGGGCTGGTGTCGCCATGGTCAGTTTATGGTTTGCTCC